AAAAAAAAAAAAAAAGCTCTTTACTTTCAATGCAAAATAGATTATCTTTTGGTCTACCATAAATTCCTGAGCAAGATCTCTTTTTAGAAACTGAATACTATTCTTTTTATTTTCGTAATTTCAATTTTAATTTAGTAAAATGTTTTTAAGCATATGAACAGAATTTCAAGGGAATTTTTTATATATTTTTTGTTGTACTCCTTACAGGGTCATGTAAAAGTTGTTCAGTATTTGGTGAAAGAAGTCAATCAGTTCCCTTCTGATATAGAATGTATGAGATATATAGCAACAATTGCTGATAAGGTAAGTCACATTTGCTATTGATGCACAATTCAGTTCTTTGTGAATTATATGCATTAAATGTGTGCAGTTAAGAACTTGGTCAGTTTTTCTTTAACAGGTTGATTCACCTAATCTTTCTATGCTTCAGTTTTTCCATATGTAAATTAACAGATAATAGTACTTTTAATGAAATAGTTTAAGATTTCTTTCTTATTGTGACCATTATTGTTTATTACTAAACCATTAGCTTGGTTAAGTTTTCTAAGAACATGTGAATTTTTTTATAAAAGATGCCTTATTTTGATGGAAGATTGATATATGATTTTACTAAAAAAAAAACAGTGAGATTTAGTGAATTTTCAGTTGTTTGAGATTTAATGGTTTGGCATGCTCATCAGCTCAACTTTTATTTGGCTTCTTGTTATGTGAGTCTATACTTCTGTAATTGCATTTTCTCCTGTAGGAACTGTTGAAAAAATGTCACCAATGTGTTGAGACAATTGTGAAGGCTAAAGACCAACAGGCTGCAGAAGCAAATAAGAATGCAAGTATTCTTTTAAAGGAACTTGATCTAGAAAAGGTGAGTGGGAAAAATAATTTTCCTTAATACAAATTGTTTAAAGACAGCTAGGCCGGTGCCCGCGGCTCACTAGGCTAATCTTCCGCCTTGCGGCGCCGGCACACCGGGTTCTAGTCCCGGTCGGGGCACCGGATTCTGTCCCGGTTGCCCCTCTTCCAGGCCAGCTCTCTGCTGTGGCCAGGGAGTGCAGTGGAGGATGGCCCAAGTGCTTGGGCCCTGCACCCCATGGGAGACCAAGATAAGTACCTGGCTCCTGCCATTGGATCAGCGCGGTGCGCTGGACGCAGCACGCCAGCCGCGGTGGCCATTGGAGGGTGAACCAATGGCAAAGGAAGACCTTTTTCTCTGTCTCTCTCTCTCTCACACTGTCCACTCTGCCTGTCAAAAAAAAAAAAAAAAAAGACTGCTAGAGGGGCTCATGTTGTGTCATAATAGGTTAAGCCACCACCTGAGATGCCAGCATCCCATATGGGTGTCAGTTCAAATCCCGGCTGCTCCATTTCTGATCTGGCTCCCTGCTAACATACCTGGGAGAGCAGTGGAATATGCCCCCAAGTACTTAGGCCCCTGCCATCCACATGGGAGACCCAGATGGAGTTCCAAGCTCCTGATTTTGATCTGGGGAGTGAACCAGCATATGGAAGACCTCAGTGTCTGTCTGTCTCTCTCTGTGTATGTAGATATAGATATAGATATCTCCTTCTGTGTAATTCCCTCTCTTCTCTATAACTTTGCCTTTGAAATAAATGGATATTTATAAAAGAAAAAAGTCTGCTATAATGTATATGTCACCTATATTGCCAGTGATCTTAACAAAACATCATTCAAAAGAAATGGTTAATAGAGTCTCAAATGTTTTTTTATTCTGACCTATTTCATTCATAAAAAATATTTTGAGAACAAATACGTGAGGTACTTAATTTTGAGCAAAGTCCCAACTTACCAAATGACATTACTGCTTAAGTGGTTTTAAATTAAGATCTAAAAGGAAATTTAATAAAAGCATCGGAAATAATTTCTTTAAAAGAACTGGAGTAGGGGCCAGGCCAGCACTGTGGCATAGTGGGTAAAGCCACCGCCTGCAGTGCTGGCATCCCATATGAACACCAATTTGAGTCCCAGCTGCTCCACTTCCCATGCAGCTCTCTGCGATGGCCCAAGTCCTTGGGCCCCTGCACCCTTGTGGGAGACCCAGAAGAAGCTCCTGGCTCCTGGCTTCGGATCGACCTAGCTCTGGCAGTTACAGCCGTCTAGGGAGTAAAGCAGTGGATGGAGAACGTCTCTCTCTCTCTCTGTGCCCCTCTGTAACTCTGCCTTTCCAATAAATAAATAAACCTTTTAAAAAAATGAACTGAACTGTAACTGATTCACTAGATTCCCAATTGCAGAGTAAGTATCTAGTTTCCTAGAATGTATGGTATATTGAAAAAGATTTAAAAGAAAAAAAAGGATTCTGAGATTCAGCCTGCTTATCTGGAAAATATGGGTATTGATTTTTGAATCCAGAATTTGTATTAAATGAGAAAATGCCACTATTAAGTGGAGTTTTTCTAGGAATGCAAGAAAAGGATAAGATGAAGATATTTTGTTGATAGTTAAAAGAGAAAAAGTATAATCAGTTTGAATGATACTAAAATTTTGATATATTCTTTCTTGGTTTAAAAAAAAGCTGTGGCAAGTGTCTGGCTTGGCAGTTAAGCCACCAGTTGAGATATTCTTGTGCGGTATCAGAGTGCCTGGAGTCAAGGTCTGGTTCTGCTCCTGTTTCCTGCTTCTTGCTAATGCATACCTGGGAGGCAGTAGGTGACAGCTGAAGTGGTTGAGTCCCTAGCACCCACATAGGAGACTGGGACTGGGTTCCCTGCTCACAGCTTCAAATTCGCCAAGCCCCAGACCTTGCAGGCATTTGGGGAGTAAACCAGCAGATGGGAGCTCTGTCTGTCTTTTTGTCTCTGAAATAAAATTAAAGTTTTTTTTTAAAATTAAAACAGTATGGTAAAAACAGAAGAAAAGATTTCTTATAAATCAATGAGATAAAAAGATAACTCACTGGGTCTGGCACTTCGGCTTAGCAGGTTAAGCTGCTGCCTGCAGTGCTGGCATCCCATGTGGACTGTTGGTCAAGTCCCTGATGTTCCACTTCCATTCCAATTCCTTGCTAATACACCTGGGAAAGCAATAGCAGATGGCCCAAGTACTTGGACCCCTGCATCCAGGTAGGAGGCCCAGAAGGAGCTCATTGGTCTTGGCTGCAGCCTAACCCAGCCCCAGCTGTTGCAGCCATTGGGGGAATAAACCAGCATATGGAAGACCTCTCTCTCTCTCTCTCTTTGTGTGTGTCTCTGTCTCTCTCACTTGATTTTTCAGATAAATAAATCTTTTAAAAAAATAACAGAATAAAAAGTGATCACATGGATAGGCAATTCACAAAAAAAGAAATAATAAATGTCTAATAAGCAGATGGACAATGCTCAACTTTATTAGTAAACAAAGCACTGCACAGTAGAAGAGCAATTTAATTTTTCCCTGATTAGCAAAGCTTAAAAGTTTAATATTTTTAATATTATTTATTTATTTATTTATTTGACGAGTAGAGTTACAGATAGTGAGAGTGAGAGACACTCACTCCTTTGGTTCACTCCCCAAATGGCCGCTACGGCCGGCGCTGCGCCGATCTGAAGCCAGGAGCCAGGTGCTTCCTCCTGGTCTCCCATGCTGGTGCAGGGCCCAAGCACTTGGGCCATCCTCCACTGCCCTCTCGGGCCACAGCAGAGAGCTGGACTGGAAGAGGAGCAACCGGAACTAGAACCTGGCACCCATATGGGATGCCAGTGCCGCAGGTGGAGGATTAACCAAGTGAGCCACCATGCTGGCCCTTTAATATTTATTGATAGCAAAGGTGTGGTGAAATTAGCACTCTACTGTGACTTTTGATGTGTAAGTCAGTATAACTGTTGGAGGGGATTTGACAAATGAAGCCATAAAAAAGTATAAACTCTTACTTCCAGCTGTTCCATTTTTAGAAATTTAATCTGAGGTGAATAATTAGACAAATGCTCAAAGATGTGGATTTATAAGGATATTCGTTGTTGCATTGCTTTTAATAGTGGATAAGATAACATTTAAATCTTACCACTAGGAGGTCAAATAAATTCTAGTACTTCTATGGAGAGCTTGATTATACTTAAAATCAAGAAGGAAAAAATTTATATTCATTTTAAAATAAGTTAGAGTTTAAAGTTAGAAAAATGCTATTGTCCAATGTCTATATTTTTGTACTTACCCAGGGATATGGGATATAATTTTCCATATAGCAGTTTCGTTCTATGCCAATAAATTAATGAAATGATTTTTAGCAGAAGATGTTATCTTTATTCCACCCTCAGCTTTTTTCTCATTTGCATCAGAGATCAGTAAACTTTTTTTATGAAATGCCACATAAATATAGGCTGTGTTTGCTATGTAGTCTCTCAAAACTCTTCTGGTATTGTAGCATGAAAGGAGCCATAAACAATAGGTAAGTGAACGAGTATGGCTGTGTTCCAATAGTATATTAGCCATGGTTACTGGAATGTATAATTTCCACATGAAATTTTAACATTTTACAAAATGTTCTTTTTAATTTTTTCAACCATATAAGATGTAAAAACTAATCTTAGCTTTGGGGCTATACCAAAATAGGCAACAGACTGAATATGGCACTCAGGCCATAGTTTGCCCATTCCTAATTTAATAAATAAAAGTTTCAGCATAAATTAATTTACTTAAAAGGTAGAATTAGGGAGAGGAGAGACAGAGAGACCTTTCTATCCACTGGTCCACTCTCCAGATGGCTGCAACATCTGACGGTGGGCCAGGTTGCAGTCAGGAACCAGAAACTCCATCCAGGTCTCTCACCTGGATAGCAGGAGCCCAAACTGTTGGGCCATCCTCTGCTGCCTCCCAGGTACATTAGCAGGGAGCTGGTTTGGAGTGGAGCAACCGGGACTTAAAATGGTACTTTTAAGGGATGCCAGCATCACAGGTGGCAGCTTAACCTGCTGAGCCACAACACCTGCTCCTATGCATCCTTTTCTGAAAAGCTAATACTATATTTTCTGCTTATAACCATAATAGATATTAACAAAACCTAAAGGTACGTGTCAGGTGAGCAGTGTTGGGTTGCAGTAGATTAAACCACCACTTGAGACACCCACATCTCATATCAGAATGCTGGCGCAAGTCTCTGATGGCTGCTCTGCTTCTAATACACCTTTCAGCTGATGCATCCTGGGAGGCAGCAGATGATGGCTCAAGTGCTTGGGCTTCTCCCACCCATGTGAGAGACCTGGAAGGAATTCTGGGTTCTCAGCTTTAGCCTGCCCCAGCCCTGGCTAGGTAGGTATTTGGTTAGTGAACTAACATATGCAAGATTGTTTTCTTGCTTTTGGTCTGCCTTTCAAGTAGATGAAAATAAATATTTTGAAAAAAATGAAGTTGGTGAGAATTCAGAATATGGCTTTCAAAGTTCTGTAAACTTAGTAAAATGATCATTTTTAAGCTTTTTAAAAATTTTTACAATGAAATCTGCATGTCTTTTTCTAAAGATCTTGAATTTAGGTCAATAAATGCTTCAGATAAGCATTTTTAGTATATGTGCTGCTGAAGCAAGCATACAGATAAGCATTTTTAACAGCTTTCCTGATATTTAATTCACCTAAAGTTAAACAATCAGTGGCTTTTAGTATATTCACAGAATTTTTCATTCCATCAGCTCAATTTTAGAACATTTTAATTATCCTGAAAACAGACTCTGTATACTATAGCTTTTTTCCTCACCTACCCTCTCATCCTGAAATCCCTCCATCTTAGTACTTTACATTTGTGAATTTGCCTAGTCTGGACATTTCATATATATGGAATCATATGTTACTGGTCTTTTGTGCCTGGCATTTTGACTTAGCAAAATATTTTCAAAGTTCATTCATCTAAAAGCATAAATCAGTACTTTTTTATTTTATTGCCAAATAAATTATTGTACAGATATATTACATTTTCTTTATCTGTTTATTAGTTGATGAACATCAAATTGTTTTCACTTTTTGGGTATTATTATAATTAAAGCTGCTATAGATAGAAGCAGACAAGTTTTTATATGAACATAATTTCAGTTCTGTTGGATATACCTAAGATGGAGTGCTGGGTCATCTAGTAATTCTGTGTTTAACTATTTGAAGAAATGGAGCATCCAGGACTCAATTTCATGCACTCATGGCATGCCGATGTTACAGGTGGTGGCTTAACCTGCTGCACCACAACATTGGCCCCTGACTTGTCTTTTAAAATATTGTATTACTACTAAAATTATGTACTTGATTTGTAGTCAAGAGAAGAAAGTAGGAAGCAGGCTCTTGCGGCTAAAAGGGAGAAAAGAAAAGAAAAGAGAAAAAAGAAAAAAGAAGAGCAGAAAAGAAAACAGGAGGAGGATGAGGAAAACAAACCAAAGGAAAATTCAGAACTACCAGAAGATGAAGATGAAGAGGAAAATGATGAAGATGGTGAGTAGTGATCTATCTGAATTGGCTGTTTATCAACTTCATTTTGAGTGTTTTTGCTATAGGTAATTCTGGCTAGATTTGATTACTTTAATTGGAATCAGAAAAGTAACTTTTATAGTATTTCTAAATGTTATATACTATATATACTATAATTCCTCACAGAGAAATAAAAAGGAGAAGGCAAAAAAAAAAAGCAAAAAAAGAGGAAATCAAATACATAATTTGAAGTTTAGTTATAATTTGTCATGTTTTAAAATACTGTGGATATACTAATAATAGTCAAGTAAGAGATTTACCAGATTTTCTTCAGTTTTTCTTCTTCCCCTGATTAGAAACTAGAGAAACACGCACTCATTAATCAATTAAAATAAATTGTTAACCAAGGATCAAGACAGAAATGTCAGTAGAAGCTAAGATTCATTACTCTCAGAGTTGTATATTGTGTCATCTGGCAGTGACTGTACTAGGTAAATAATTTTGGTGTACCTAGATTTTAATTTGAAACAAATAATATTTGAAAATTTTCCTGAATTCAAACTATATTATAGTTTTTGGTTAGGTCATGAGACTAGCATTTCACATCTGAAATATATTAATGAATTTAGACATCAAAATATCATATTGTATATTGTAACAATAGTAAGAATTTCTTTATTTAAATACTGGTGAAATAGGACCTAAAAGATTGATTGTTATGGATTATTAGGTATATTCTGTCATATTTGTTTTGAGATCTGTGGCTCTCAGTGTGATTTTTATCCTTTTTTATAATTTCAGTGGAGCAAGAAGTTCCCATAGAGCCTCCTAGTGCAACTACCACTACCACAATTGGAATCTCTGCAACATCTGCAACATTCACAAACGTGTTTGGGAAAAAAAGGGCCAACGTGGTGACAACCCCCAGCACCAATCGGAAAAATAAGAAGAATAAAACAAAAGAGACCCCTCCCACATCACATTTAATACTACCAGAACAACATATATCTTTAGCACAACAAAAGGCAGATAAAAATAAAATAAATGGAGAACCTAGAGGTGGTGGTACAGGTGGGAATAGTGATTCAGATAATTTGGACAGCACAGACTGCAACAGTGAGAGTAGTAGTGGTGGTAAAAGCCAAGAGTTAAATTTCACTATGGATGTGAATTCTTCTAATGATAGGAGATACCCCCCACTGCTCCTCCATTCCCAAGAAGAAAAGACAAGTTCCACAACTTCCAAAACTCAAACACGGTAAATTTGTTTGATTTGTTAACTTTACATTCACCTTTGGTTTTTCATACCTAGTACAAGAATCTGAAGTACCTTATCCAAGCACAACTTGTATAAAACAATTTAAGTCTATCAGATTATTTGTCTTCAGTATTTATCAGTTACATCCCAGCTTTTGGCTCCTGAGTCTATTTTAATAGTAAAATTGATTATCTCTGTTCACTATTTGATATGCCAAAGAAATTCTTTTAAAGATTTATATTGTCTTTTACTTTTTTTTTTTTTCAAGTTTTATTTATTTAGTTGAATGTCAGAGTTACAGGGAAGCAGAGGCAGAGAGAGAGAGAGAGGTCTTCCATCTGCTGATCTACTCCCCAAATGGCTGCAACAGCTGGAGCTGGGCCAATTTGAAGCCAAAAGCCAGGAGCTTCTTCCTGTGGGTGCAGTGGCCTGAGCACTTGGGCCATCTTCTGCTTTCCCAGGCCATATTAGAGAATTGGATCAGAAGTGGAGTAGCTGGGACTTGAACCGGTGTCCATATGGGATGCCAGCACTTCAGGGACAGCTTTACCAGCTATGCCACAGCGCCAGCACCAAAGATTTCTTTTATGTATAAGGTAGAATAAAAGAGAGAGGGAAAAAAAAGATTTTCCATCTGCTGGCTCACTCCCTAAATGGCCACAACAGCTGGGTCAGGGCCATGCCAAAACTAGGAGCCATGAACCCTATCCATGTCTCCCTTGTGGGTGGCAGGGACCCGAGTACTTGGGCCATCTCCTACTGCTTTTCATAGGAGTGTTAGCAGGGAGCTGGATTGAAAGAGTAGAAGGAAATCAAAACAGCACTTTAATAATGGATGCACATCTCACAAACAGCTTAACCAGCTATGCCACAATGCTAGTCCATTAATGTGCCAAATTTTGTTTATTTTTTTAAGATTTATTTACAGAGTAAAGGAGAGACAGGGAGATCTTTCTTCCGTTGGTTCACTCCCCAAATGGCCTCAACTGCCAGGGCTGAACCAGGCCGAAGCTTGGAGCCAGGAGCTTCATTTGAGTCTCCTACATGGTGGCACGTGCCCAAGTACTTGGTCCATCTTCTCCTGCTTTCCCAGATGCATTAGCGGGAGCTGGATGGGTAGTGGAGCAGCCAGGACTTGAACTGGCATTAATATGGGATGCCAGTTTCTCAGACAGAGGCTTAACCTGGTGGGCTACAATGCTGGCCTCAGTGTGCCAAATTTTAATTCCCTAAAGGAATAGTCACTTGAATTTCTGTCTTATAATTTATCTTTTATTGGACTTGATATTTCTCTCTTCTCAGACTTGAAGGTGAAGTGAATTCTAATTCCTTATCAACAAGCTACAAGTCAGTGTCATTACCATTAAGCTCTCCAAACATAAAGCTGAATCTCACTAGCCCTAAAAGGGGTCAAAAAAGAGAAGAAGGGTGGAAAGAAGTTGTGAGAAGGTAAGTAGAATTTGAAGATTTGTTTATTTGAAAGTCAGAGTTACAGAGAGAGAGGGGAAGAAACAGAGATCTTCCATCTGCTGGTTCACTTCCTAGGTGACCACAACGGCCAGGCTGGGCTAAGCTAAAGCCAGAGCCAGGAGCTTCTTCCAGGTCTCCCATGTAGGTAGCAGGGGCCAAACACTTGTGACATTTTCCACTGCTTTTCCCAGGCTGTTCTTGGGGACCTGGATCAGAAGTGGAGCAGCCAGAATACAAACCGTACCCATACGGGATGCGGACGTCATAATCAGTGGCTTTACCCACTACACTACAACAGCAGCCCCAGTTAATGAATAATTTGCATATAGCTAGTGTTTCAAATTCTAGTGCCTTACAAAATATATAATATGGTAAAGCAGAATATAAATTTTATATGCAGATTTGTTTATGATACATCCTGTAAATTGGCTTTCTAAAATGCTTCATTTATTTATTTGAAAAAGAGACAGATCTCATATCTGCTGGTTTACCCCCAAATGCCTGAAACTAAGTCCCAGCTCACTCTGCATCCAATCTAGGTCCCTCCAAATGTGCCTGGGAAGGCAACAGAGGATGGCCTACTTGGGGCCTTGCCACCCACGTTGGAGACCAAGGTAGAGTTCCTGGTTCCTGGCTTTGGCCTGGTCCATACTTGGCTGAGCAGCCGTTTTGACAGTTAACAGTAGATAGAAGGTGTATCTCTTTCTCTTTCTATCTCTGCCTTTCAAAAAAAAAAAAAAAGAGAGAGAGAGGTAAAAGAGGTCAGGGTTTTTTTTATATATATATATATATAAAGTGTGTGTGTGTGTGTGTGTATATATATAGTTCTAAATTTTTTTAAGATTTATTTATTTATTTGAAAAGTAGAATTACAGAGAGAGGGAGAGACAGAGAGAAAGGTCTTCCATCCACTGGTTCACTCCCTACATGGCCTCAGTAGCCAAAGTTGAGCTGATCCGAATCCAGGAGCCAGGAACTCTTCCAGGTCTCCCATGCAGGTGCAAAGGCCCAAGGACTTGGGCCATCTTCTGCTGCTTTCCCAGGCCATAGCTGAGAGCTGGATCAGAAGTGGAGCAACCGAGACTCAAACCGGCACCCATATGGGATGCCGGCACCATAGGCAGTGGCTTTATCCGCTACCCCACATTGCTGGCCCCCAAAGAGGTCAGGTTTTACAATAACTTTTAATTTTCATTTTAATGTTTTAGAAATATTATTTTTTAAAATTTTTATTAAAGAACAGATTTCATGACTGTCTTTCTAAATAAAAACATTTATTCTATTCAAAAATATTTGATTTCATAAGGTCATGTGTAGTCTTTATTTTATAGGTCAAAGAAATTGTCTGTTCCAGCCTCAGTCGTATCCAGGATAATGGGAAGAGGAGGATGCAACATCACTGCAATACAAGATGTTACTGGGGCACATATTGATGTGGATAAACAAAAAGATAAGAATGGCGAAAGAATGATCACAATAAGGTAATTGTAAAAAGTGCACTTTAACTCTGAGTCAGGAATTATATTTTATAATTAGCATACTTTTGTTGGGTATGGTACAATTAAGGATTTTATTTGATGCTTAAAGTTATCTAGGGTTTTTTTGGTCTTACTTTGTTTTTATTTTTTTCCAGGGGTGGTACAGAATCAACTAGATATGCAGTTCAACTTATCAATGCACTTATTCAAGATCCTGCTAAGGAACTGGAAGACTTGATTCCAAAAAATCATATCAGAACACCTGCCAATAACAAATCCATTCATGCAAACTTCTCATCTGGAGTAGGCACCACAACAGCTTCCAGTAAAAATACATTTCCCTTGGGTGCTCCAACTCTTGTAACTTCACAAGGGACAACATTGTCTACGTTCCAGCCTACTAATAAACTTAGTAAGAATGTTGCAACAAATGTACGTTCTTCTTTCCCAGTTTCTCTACCCTTAGCTTATCCCCACCCTCATTTTGCCTTGCTGGCTGCTCAAACTATGCAACAGATCCGACATCCGCGGTTACCCATGGCCCAGTTTGGAGGAACCTTCTCACCTTCTGCTAACACTTGGGGACCATTCCCAGTGAGACCTGTGAATCCTAGCAACACAAATAGCTCTCCAAAGCATAATAATACAAGCAACCGTCTACCTAACCAGAATGGGACTGTTTTACCATCAGAGTCTCCTGGACTGACTACTGCTAGTTGTCCCATCACTGTCTCTTCTGTAGTTGCCGCCAGTCAGCAACTGTGTGTGACTAATACCCGGACTCCTTCATCAGTCAGGAAGCAGTTGTTTGCCTGTGTGCCTAAGACAAGTCCTCCAACAACAGTGATTTCTTCTGTGACAAGCACTTGTAGTTCCCTGCCTTCTGTCTCCTCTGCGTCTATCACTAGTGGGCAAGTTCCCACCACGTTTCTGCCTACAAGTACTCCTCAAGCACAGCTTTCTTCACAAAAGATGGAGTCTTTCTCTACTGTGCCATCCCCCAAAGAGAAGGTGTCCGCACAGGACCAACCCATGGCAAATCTGTGCACCCCATCTCCAACTACAAATAGTTGCAGTAGCTCCGCCAGCAACACTCCAGGAGCTCCAGAAACTCACCCATCCAGTAGTCCCACTCCTACCTCCAGCAACACACAGGAGGAGGCACAACCATCCAGTGCATCTGATTTAAGTCCAATGTCAATACCATTTGCATCGAACTCAGAACCTGCTCCACTGACTTTGACGTCACCCAGATTGGTTTCTGCTGATAATCAGGACACAAGTAATTTACCTCAGTTAACTATACCAGCACCTCGTGTTTCTCATCGAATGCAGCCAAGAGGTTCTTTTTACTCAGTGGTACCAAATGCAGCTATTCACCAGGATCCCCAGTCTATTTTTGTTACAAATCCAGTACCTTTAACACCACCTCAAGGCCCACCAGCTACTGTGCAGCTTTCTTCAGCCGTGAATATAATGAATGGTTCTCAGATGCACATCAACCCAGCAAATAAGTCTTTACCCCCTGCATTTGGCCCAGCCACACTTTTTAATCACTTCAGTAGTCTTTTTGATAGCAGTCAGGTGCCTGCTAACCAGGGTTGGGGAGATGGCCCATTGTCCTCACGAGTTGCTGCAGATGCTTCTTTCACTGTTCAGTCAGCATTCCTGGGTAACTCTGTTCTTGGACACTTGGAAAATGTGCACCCTGACAACTCCAAGGCACCTGGTTTCAGACCACCTTCCCAACGAGTTTCTACTAGTCCTGCTGGTAAGTTGTTATTTACTATTACAGGTTAATTTGGGGCTCTCATAGCCTATTCTCATCTTCCAAGATAATAATAAAGTGTTTGTTTTGAACCTAATACCACATGATTGGAAGAAATTGTAACATGTCTCAAGTGTTAAAGACCCTTATTGATTATTGATTGAACAAAAAAGGATGCATAACTAAATCACTCACAGACAGTGAGCTATTCTGTATTCTGTATGATCTTTTATTTCTCCTAATAAGGAAGTTATGTCTGTGAAAGTCCATTTTCTAGGATTGGTATCAAATGATGCTATTAAAAAAGATTCCAAATTCAGACTTTTTGAAATTGTACTGATTATGATTCTCATATCTAAAAAATTGGAATTCTGGGGCCAGGATTGTGGCTCAGTAGGTTAAACTACTGGTTGCAATGACAGCATCCCATGTTGGAGGGCCAGTTCAAGTCCAACCTGCTCCACTTCTGATCCAGTTTTCTGCTAATGCACCTGGAAAGGCAGCAGAAGATGGTCCAAGTAGTTGGGCCCCTGCCACCCACTTGGGAGAACAGGATGAAGTTCTTAGCTCCTGACATCAGCCTGGCTGAAGCCTTGTCTGTTGCAGATTTTTGGAGAGTGAACCATCAGAAGATCTCTGTCTCTGTCTCTCCCTTTCTCTCTGTCACTGCAATTCAAATAAATAAAAGAAAAATTAGAATTGCAGAAGTGTTTAGGCATTTCATAATTTACATTGTTTAATAGTACTCTATATTAGTTACATTAAATGCAGTTATATCAAAAGATTTAGTCATTTGTAAGCTCTTATTTCAAAGCAACCAACTTACATTTGGCTGATTCCTCAAAATTAGAAATTATCTGCTAAGACATTAAGAAAAGATACAGATCAGTCTGAGGCCAGTGTTGGCTTGGAGCTCTTTGGAAAAGCCCAATCAGAATTTAACAGCCAAATTTTAGTTCGATCTGTACCATTCTGAAGGACAAATTAGAAATGTGGCTGACCCAGAGTGAATCTTAGAAGCACTATTGCCACATAGTGTTTCTCTTCTGGTTAGAAAACTATCCCACGCTACTTTTTTGTTAATTATAAACTGATCTGGCCAGCACCGGGGCTCAATAGGCTAATCCTCTGCCTGCGGCGCCAGCACACTGGGTTCTAGTCCCGGTCGGGGCGCCGGATTCTGTCCCGGTTGCCCCTCTTCCAGGCCAGCTCTCTGCTGTGGCCCGGGAGTGCAGTGGAGGATGGCCCAAGTGCTTGGGCTCTGCACCCCATGGGAGACCAGGAGAAGCACCTGGCTCCTGGCTTCGGATCAGCGCCTTGTGCCGGCCACAGCGGCCATTGGAAGGTGAACCAACGGCAAAGGAAGACCTTTCTCTCTGTCTCTCTCTCTCACTGTCCACTCTGCCTGTCAAAAAAAAAAAAAAATTATAAACTGATCTGTGTTGTTTAAAATTAATTGTGAGCTATGGATATGGTATGTCTTAGCCCTCATTTTAGATGTATTTCCATTTACTTGTCTTTCCAGGAAAGCATAGCTGTTATATCATCTTTCAAACAGAAATATAAGACTGCATAGGACAGCTGTAGTTAAAATATTCTCTGGGATTTTGTTCCTTCCTACCTTTAGGCATCTGTTGTTAACTTTTCATTTTGATAAACTGGTAGAGATTTTCAGAATCCATACGATGAAAGAAGAGCTTCTTTGCCAGTGCTCAGGCTGTGATAGAAAGCATTCGTCCTTGATGTTCCTTTTGAGGCCCAGGGTTAAGAAACTCAGCCTCATTTCTTAACTGCCTTCATGGTTTCTTTTGTTGATGTTTTTCTTTCATGATTATCGTTTACTTTCATGAATATAGTTGTGTGTGTGTGTGTGTGTGTGTGTGTGTGTGTTTTTTTTTTTTTTTTTCTGACAGGCAGAGTGGACAGTGAGAGAGAGAGACAGAGAGAAAGGTCTTCCTTTGCCCTTGGTTCACCCTCCAATGGCCGCTGTGGCTGGCACGCTGCGGCCTGTGCACCGCGCTATTCCGAAGGCAGGAGCTAGGTACTTATCCTGGTCTCCCATGGGGTGCAGGGCCCAAGCACTTGGGCCATCCTCCACTGCACTCCCTGGCCACAGCAGAGAGCTGGCCTGGAAGAGGGGCAACCGGGACAGAATCCGGCGCCCTGACCGGGACTAGAACCCGGTGTGCCCGCGCCACTAGGTGGAGGATTAGCCTATTGAGCCGCAGCACCGGCCTCATGAATATAGTTTTCAGATAAGAAGTAGCAGTACCTTATATGAGGATGGATGTGGACAAATTGAAGTCGTCACATGCTGCTGTTAGAAATGTGAAGTAGAACAACCAATCTGGAAAAACAGTTCACAGTTCCTTAAAAAGCTAAACATACCTACAAATGGAATTATTATACATACGACTTGTTAAGCAGATGAGGAGTAGTTATTAAACATAAACTGTGTGATCCAATAATTCCACTCCTAAGAATACTTAAGACGTATGTCTGTAGAAAAACTGGTATATTAAAAAAAAACTGGTACATAAATGTTCACAGTAGCATTATTCATAATAAACAAAAAATGGAAACAATTCAGTGTCCAGCTGGTGAATGAAATGTGGCACTGTTGTATAAAAGAATACTTTCTTAATTTGGAAATAAGAAATGAGGTACCGATGCATGTTCTAACATGAATAATGAATTTTGAAAACATTTTGCTAAGTGAAAGCACCAGTCACAAAAGACATATTGATTCCATTTATATGAAGATTCTAGAATAGGCAAATTTGTAGAGACAGAAATATTAGTGTTTACCTAGGGTAGAGGGATTGCAGTGTGGAGGATGGGGCAATTGATGTGTTGTATGCAGGGTTTCTTTTTAGGATAATGAAAATATTCTAAAATTGGTTGTGGTAGTGAATGCACGATTCTGGGGATATATTAAAAGCCACTGAATTGCAGAACTTTAAATAGGTGAGTAGTATGATGTGAGTTAAATCTAAGTAGGGCTGTTAATTACATATATGTGGCATCTGTTTCACTTACCAAAAATGCCACTATTGTAATCTTTATAAAATATTGACAGATTTCACTGTAAAAATAGACAAAAGGTTGGGTTTTTAAATTTTTTTTATTTTTTGCCAGGCAGAGTTAGACAGTGAGAGAGAGACAGAGAGAAAGGTCTTCCTTCTGTTGATTCACTCCCCTAATGGCCGCTACAGAGCCAGGAGCTGGGTGCTTCCTCCCGGTCTCCCATGCAGGTGCAGGGACCCAAGCACTTGGGCCATCCTCCACTGCCTTCCCAGGCCACAGCAGAGAGCTGGACTGGAAGAGGGGCAAGCGTGATTAGAACCCAGGGTGCCGGAACCGCAGGCGGATGATTAACCAAGTGAGCCACAGCGCCGGCCAAAACATTGTTTTAAAAATGATTTTTCCCCTACTTAGTGCAGCTTTGAAAGCCACATTGAGAATTGTTACCACCTTTAGATGTTGCTAACATCTACTCTGATTAGCACTACAAAATACTTTTTTCTTTTTTGGAAAGAGGCACATGGTGATAGTTGCCAGTACCATAATGAAAGTCTGAAACATCAGTTTACCTAAGTGGAAAGATTAATGTCACTTAAAAGTGGGGATATAGGGATGACAAGTGATAGTGGCAAGCAATGGATATGAAGTTTCTTTTAGAGAAGACAGAAATGTTCTAAAATTGATTGTGATGATGTTTACATAGCCCTGTGGATATATGTACTGAAAACCATCAGATGATTATATGAGAGTGAATTGATTATATGGTAAGCTATTTCTTTTAATCATGGAGAAATCAATCTATTTGAAAATGAGAAAAAAAGACCTGCTTGAGAGAAATTTTGATAATTTTTTATTGATATTAACTACTTTTTCCTGAAACGAGCACCTATAATCACTTTTGCCCTTGTTCCTTTATCTAATAGATTCTCCAGAGAATATGGTAGAATTTGAGAATACTGCGAAGTTCATACTTTTATAATCTGAATAGAAATTTTGATATAGCTTACAACTTGATATTTTTTGCCTCAGATAGAATACTAAAATTATATTTAATAGTATGTTTTTGTTCTTTGTGTGGATACAATCATTGGGAGACTTTGTTACTTATCTTCCATAGGAAATGAATATAGTTATATGATGAAAAGCTATATTTAGAGATTTTCCACAGAAGGGAATATAGGTTTTTGATAGATACCACTGAGTCATACCTCTAATGAAAAGCTTTGAGATTTATCTAGAACATTACTTCAGGTGACTTCCATCCCTAAACATTGGACTCTATTTTTCTGTATCTAGTGGTATGTGTTGGTATTGTGGATTGTATGAAAAAAATAGATTTGGCCTTACAATATCATATAAGTGAATTATTTTTGCAGTGCTACAAAAATAAACCACATACTTTTTAAAAAGGGAATTAAAATTAATAATAATGATGGTTGATACCAATAATTAAATAAACAGGTGACTTTCAATTTTAAACCTTTGCCTAATTGTATGTCTTGCACCTGTTTTATTTCAGGGTTACCATCCATTGACCCATCAGGCAGTTCTCCATCTTCCTCTTCTGCTCCTCTGACAAGTTTTTCCAGCATACCAGGAACAAGAGTTTTCTTACAAGGGCCAGCTCCTGTTGGGACTCCTAGTTTCAACAGACAACATTTTTCTCCCCATCCTTGGACAAGCGCCTCAAACTCATGTAGGAATCCTGGAGGAACTCTTCCCAAAGAGTCTTGAATAAGTTATTAAACTGTTTGTTTCAGGGAATACTATGTTGTTACTTTTGTAAGCTAAATGATTTGCAGATCCCCAAGGTTTGTATCGCAATCATCAGTCATTTATAGGATAGAAAACTTGAGAAGGGTCAAGCTATTCTTCCAAACCAGAAATGCTTACATTTGGATTTGGACCATGAAAAGAGGTAGTTTTACAAAAGGACCCTTTGGGGACAGTGTTGTGAGATAATTTCTGAAATCTGAAAAGAAGCTGCATTTATACATATGATTGGTATGATTTCTTATTTTTACCTTTTATGAAACTATATTGTTGATATTTATAAGTAAAAATATTCCTTTGTTCTGAGTTATTGCAATATTTAGAATAGATAAAGTATTTTTAATTGAACAGGATTTTATATTTTTAAATATCATGAGGCCCTTTTGACAAGGAAAACTGCCCAGATTACCTGAGAGGTTCTTTAAGAGACAAAGCTGTGAATGCTACAATGAATTGAATCCTGAAATACCTTACTCAGTGCTTACCCTTTCTTCCTTATAGCAAAAAAGAGATAGAAAGGAAAAAGAAAAGAACAGATATAGAGGGCCAAGTGTTTTCTTGACATTATGCTAGGTACTGTGTAAACACTGCCAAATTTTAGCTAATTTAAAATGTGACAATATATGTTTTGAGAAGATTATTTAGAACTAGAATGAGAATAAATGTGGCCTTTTTCCTTTCTAGCTTTGTTCAGTTTACTTGGGAAAAAAATTTTGGGGGTATTTGTTTATACACATTATTGACAGAAGTATTCTAGGATAATGCTTGCAAAAATTATATATTTTCATTAGAATGATTTTATAAAATGAAATTTTCTTTACAGAATCTATGTTTTGGAGTAGATCTTTCCAACAAGGTTTCTCATATTATTATAGTTTTTATATGTAATAAAACAATAGAGACATATTTTGCCACCAGGTGACACTCCTATTCCATCTGTTTCTTCGGGATCATCTTCACCTCTTTCAGCCACTTCTGCTGCACCAACATTGGGCCAAGCCAAAGGAGGCAGTGCCAGTCAGGATCGGAAGATACCTCCCCCCATTGGAACAGAGAGACTGGCACGGATTCGGCAAGGAGGGTCTGTTGCACAAGCCCCTATGGGGACCAGTTTTGTAGCTCCGGTTGGACACAGTGGAATCTGGTCATTCGGTGTTAATGCTGTGTCAGGTACGGTTATCTGGCCCTCTCTCTAAAGGCATATCTCAAATAAGTTCCTAAGAGTTTGCCATTAAAACACAGTTCCATTAAAAAAGCAAAAACAAAACTTAGTTTCTGTGTTTAACTTTCAGTCAAGGAAAGGTAGTTAAACCTTTGAGGAATTCAGCCCAATCTAAGAGTCTAGAGTTGATTAGAAATAAAAGATTTGGGGCTGGCACTGTGGCGTAGTAGGCTAAGCCTCCACTTGCAGCGCCATGCCAGTTCCTGTCCCAGCTGCTCCTCTTCCAATCTAGCTCTCTGCTAATGGCCTGGGAAAGCAGTGGAAGATGGCCCAAGTGTTTGTCCCCTGTACCCAGGTGGGTGACATGGAAGAAGCACTGGACTTTGGATTGGCTCAGCTCTGGCTGTTGCTGTCATTTGGGGAGTAAACCAGCAAATGGAGAACTTTTTTCTCTCTCTCTCTCCCTTTCATTGTCTGTAACTCTGCCTCTCAAATAAGTAAAAATAAATCTTCTTTAAAAAAAGAAAAGATTCAAACAAGCTTCCCTTCCCTCTTAATAAGCTTGCCAGTGTAGAGTGTAACAATCATTTAAGTTCTTTCAGAGTGGCAAGATAGTCAGTAGACTTCATTGTTTTCCATGTCTCCCCTCTCCCCCCACCGCTAGTGAGATTGTAGTTTCTGTGCTGTTCCTCTTCAGAGGATTTACTTTTATAAAATTTGGTTTGAAAAAAGAATGAAGTGGTAATGCTTTGTTGTCTTACCTAAATATCGAATTATATTTTCAATTCTTTTTTTCAGAAGGCTTATCAGGTTGGTCTCAGTCTGTGATAGGGAACCATCCAATGCATCAACAATTATCAGACCCAAGCACATTCTCCCAGCATCAACCAATGGAGAGAGATGATTCTGGAATGGTAGCCCCCTCTAACATTTTTCATCAGCCCATGGCAAGCGGTTTTGTGGATTTTTCCAAAGTGAGTTGACAAACATCTTTGTGACATGTTTGACACTTTGCCAACCTTTGTAGTCACATGTTAAGGAAGTTTATATTGAAATAATTCTCTTTTCCATGACTATGTCAATTCTTTGTTGAATTTCAAGAGGAGAGAATGTTGTCTACTGTAGTTCATCCTCACACCATCCTGAAGATGTCCCTATCCTCATATTTAGGTTTTGCTACTTTGTGTTCTGTTGACCCAGCTTTGGAGATGGCTCCTACCCCTCTAAAAAGCTTGCTGTGTCCTGTTCAATGCCATCTTGTCTTTTCTGACAGCTTCCTGTCTGTCCTAAAGCTAGATTATGGCTGCAGACAATCCCTTTTCATTCTTAGGACATTCTTATTCATGAAACTAAAATATGGGAAAGTTGAGAGTATTACATATTTTCATCAAGTTGGGGAAATTGGCTGATGATTTGACATTGGGTCTAGTTGTATTTTTGTATTTTTTCCCTCTTTCTTGTTGGAGAATGTGTATGCCAATAAACATTCAGTTTCTCAACACTTTACCATGCTGTACTTACAGGATTCTCTGGAGTTCTTTGAATTTGGGGAAGTTAAAGAGGTCTGCCGGCGCCACGGCTCAATAGGCTAATCCTCCACCTGCGGCGCCGGCACCCTGGGTTCTAGTCCTGGTCGGGGTGCTGGATTCTGTCCCAGTTGCCCCTCTTCCAGGCCAGCTCTCTACTGTGGCCCAGGAGTGCAGTGGAGGATGGCCCAAGTCCTTGGGCCCTGCACCCCATGGGAGACCAGGAGAAGCACCTGGCTCCTGGCTTCGGATCAGCGCGGTGCACAGGCCGCAGCGTGCCAGCCGCAGCAGCCATTGGAGGGTGAACCAATGGCAAAGGAAGACCTTTCTCTCTGTCTCTCTCTCTCACTGTCCACTCTGTCAAAAAAAAAAAAAAAAGGTCTAAGCTGTTACAGGAATACAGGAATCATTATTTAAAATTGCTTCAGAATTAAACTTTTTTTTTCTTTGGCTGTTTTAGGGTTTGCCAATTTCCATGTACGGAGGCGCTCTAATACCCTCTCATCCTCAGCTTGCTGATGTTCCAGGAGGCCCACTGTTTAATGGACTTCACAACCCAGATCCTGCTTGGAACCCTATGATAAAAGTTATCCAAAATTCAGCTGAATGCACTGAGGCCCAGCAGGTAAAATGTGCTTAATTCTCTTTCTGTTTTTCAGATTTGTTGTGTCATTCTTTTAATTCTGTTGGTAATGACAATTTTGAATATTAAAAGTCATGACTGACCACCTTGATCGGAATGTTTTTCAATCTCAAAATGATGCTACTAAACATTTTATTTCATGTATACGTATTCTTCCTAGGCAGAAACAGTGAATTGCCATTGCATTTATATATTCATTTTGTAAATGTCTAAAGATTCCTAATTAGAAATTCCAATTTTTCCTCCCCCTTTTCAGATTTGGCCTGGCACATGGGCACCTCATATTGGAAACATGCATCTCAAATATGTCAACTAAGTTAGAAGGTCTTTACTCTTTAGCCCTGTTTGAGAAACCTATGACCTTGGAAGAACACTGGGGATTTTTTTTCTTTAATGTGCCTAATTAAGATATTTTTTCTGAGGCTTTAGCAGTGGAAATATGATTGCCCATTGTATAAAAACAAGTTGATTTCCTATCCACCTGATTATGTTCTTTGGTTAGATTAGCCATTTTCAACTTAAGATCACATGAACGTAGTGCTTTTGGCTAAACATACTGGATGCTACTTGTATGCAGAAGAGAATTAGTTGATTACATGTTTCAACATTTTAGGGTGGTAAATACATGTATAATTGTTTACATGCTTTAAAGGAAAAAATTGAGTAAATTTCTTGTCATATAGTAGCTCTACTTAATATAGCCTGTATTAATGTGAAATATTTACCAGAATATTCAATAAAAAGATGAACAGTGTTTAGAAGTGGGGTGTGATCCTTTCAGTGGTCATGAAGATAACTGCCCAATCCACAATCATATTGATTGTTAAAACTGTATTTGCAACAGGTTTCTCACATTTTATACTTTAGAGTTGATTCTTAAGTACTGACTTGAAAGAGCTCTTTTAAAACTAGTTGTCTGTTCTGTGTTAAACATTTCTTATTCCCTTCAGTATCATTTTACATGTAAGAAAGTTTCAGGCCTTGGCAATATGTCTTATCTGAATTTAGCAGATAAGCCATTGATAGTTTTCACTCTTTATGGATCCAAGAGTATGTCAATAAGAACAGCTGGATTCAATCAGTTTACACTGAACAAACTTGAGGACACCTAAATCATCAATTTCTAGTTCTTTTTGTGTTTCCTGAGGTTTTTTTAAGATTTATTATTATTTTATTTATTTGAAAGGCAGAATTACAGAGAGACAGAGAGGGGGAAAGACAGAGAGAGAGAGGTCTTCCATCCACTGGTTCACTCCCAAAATGGCCACAACAGCCAATGCTAGGCCAGGCCAAAACTAGGAACCAGGAGCTTCTTCCAGGTCTCTCACATGGGCACAGGAACCCAAACACTTGGGGCCACCTTCTACTGCTTTCCCAGGCACATTAGCAGGGAGCTGGAGCATAAGTGGAACAGCCGAGACTTGAACTGGAGCCCCATACTGGGTGCTAGTGCTGTGGCCAGCAGCTTAACCCACCATGTCACAATGCTATCTCCTGTTTCCTGAGTCTTTTTTCTAAAATACTGATCTTGTTATAGGTGTTTTAGTTGAGACATAAAGAGGAATGACTACTGTTAGCCTGTTGTATTGTTGAATCAGCTGAGTAATGTTTATAAATATGTGACTAATTCTGGGCTTAGTATGAGTAGAAAAGAGACAGTATGTTCAACAAACTAAAAATAGGAACAGTGAAATGGGTTGTCTTGACCAAATCATAGGCTATGCCAAGAATCTGATGCAATAGAAAATTATTCCATTGAAAAGCACATTCATCAACTTGTCCATGTTTGAATATCTCCTGGTCTTAGATATACACAATATAAAAAAGAAAATGGGGTTGATTAAAAAGCCAAAAATATCAAAGCAAAGGAGGATACACAGAAAAAGGGTAGTAACTGTGGGTAGAACCGTGCAGGTAGCACTTTTCTACTTCTACCAATAGGAATTCTTAGTTTTCTCTGCCCAAGTCCTAAAGGCAGATCATTCACACTGTGTTTGTTCTTGTTAGACATAAGCTGGTCTTTTTGTTTTCCATATCAGTTTAAAATATGAGAGAGCTTCCTCAAGTGCAATTCTTATTTTGTATTTTTAGTAGATTTGGAAAGTTATCACTGGTGTAGAAGCTACTGCCTTTGGGTGGTCAATGACCATATCAGGCAGTCTCCAGAGGTCCCCTCACCTTAGTGGCAGCAACAGAAGACCCCTTCAATCATGTACATAATATTGCTGTTTCCACTTACCACTAACAAAAAATACCACCTAAAATTAGCAAAATAAAGAAAAAATTAAAGAAATATATAGTAGTGAGAAAAAATATGAAGTAAATGAATTCAGTGAGATGTATGTTTTGTCTGAACTATCTACAATATATTTGAATTGTCTGGAGGAGCCCTGTATATCTGTATTCTGTACCTTGAGGACAGTAGAATGAGAAATTTTATCTCAGGTTAAGAACTAGAACACATAAAGAAAAACAAAAAGGCAGTTATGAGAAACCTGGGAGAATCAGGAGGAAACAGGAGTTACGCAGTTGGAGGTAGTTCTTTAGGATACCCTCCTCTCTTTCCTCTTACCAGCACTGCCTTCTTTTCTTTGTATTTGGATCCCAGTAGCCTACTCCCAACCCCATTTCGCCTGATAAAATCTCTTCTTCCTCTGCCTACCTCTCCTGGCATTACTGTATTGCTATTTTACCAACCTGAACATTGGATAAAACCTAGCTCAGGTAAGAACTTGGTTACTTACAAAATACACAAGGGATATGGGGGAGGTAGCATGGGTACAATGAACAAGAGTCAGAAGTTGACATTCTGTCTTCATTTCTAACACTTAAAGCTATATGACCTTAGGCAAATAATTTCATCTTTGTGACCTTCACTTTCTTAATCTGAAAATGAGATTGAACTTAAATTAACTCAAAATGGAGTTTCTAGTTCTAATGCAGGTTTTCTTGTGTTTGTGAGTGAGAATATAAAAAAAGGGAATTAGAATGTTTGCAGTGCAGAGGTTTGAGAGCCCTTATTATTGGTTCTAACATGCAATCAAAAGGCCTGCTACTATAGGGGAGAGTATTTGAGATTTTAGTGGAGGCAGAAGAAAACCTTGCATAATCCATAGGGAGCCCTCAAGCCATTAAGAAACATCCTTCTAAGGCACAATCACACCCTGTGAGAGTAATGGCTCTTTCACGAATAAATCTATAACATCAAGGTTTCTGGACCCACTTCAAGTACTGTTCAATGTAATAAAATTCCACCACCAACAAAATTATTGATGTTTTAAGACCCTTTAAACCTGTTGTGGCTACAGTGTGCTGACTTGCCCTTTTATAGGCCAGTCTGCTTCCTTCAGTCCCTGCTCTCAAAGGGGAAATCCCATCACCTCAGCTAACCAGGCCGAAGAAGAGAGTTGGACAGCCAATGGTGGCCTCTCCTAACCAGAGGTAAGAAATCTCAGGACTTGAGACTTTGGTTTCCATCTGTTTGCGTAGGTTCTGGCCAAATCCTTGTCCCAACCTCAAAAGTAGTGTACAAGTGGGCCATCCTCAGTTTTGAGTTAACTTGTGAAAGGGGAAATATGGTCACATTATGATTTAAAGCCAAACAGAAAGGAGTGCTTCATATAGGTGGTTATGTCCTACTGTTTAATTCCTTTGGACCATATTGTAAACCCAGGAAGAGACAGATAAACCTGGAGTAACACTGCTGCTGAACATTTTGTTCTCTAACTAGCAAGATGCACTTCTACCAAGAAATGTGACTGGTTGTAACGTTGTTCTCAGTGGACTCTGCCCTGGGGGCAAGGGACTCTAATAATGCTGCATTTTATTTTTTATTAATGATCGGTCTTTTGCCAAAAGCCAGGTTCCTTCACCTTCATTTCCTGTGGGAAATGGGTGAGAGCTAAAGGTTGTGTCGAAACTTAAGTGTGTTAAGACCACCTCCAATAAAGGCACGAGGCTGGACTTTAAGACCTAATTTGGAAAATTTTGAAATTTGTGACTGCAAGTCTATTTTGTGATTACTTGCTACCTCCTGTTTTGTCCTGGTAGTCAAGACTGTATTTCCTAATATGCTTAATCACAACTCTGAAAGTGGGGCCTGGGTTTAATTTATTTTTAAGCTTACATATTCTAATGGATAATTAATCTTGTCTCTGGTTTAAACTCAGTCCTTCATCCAGCTAGTGGACAGTGAGAGAGACAGAGAGAAAGGTCTTCCTTTTTCCGTTGGTTCACCCCTCGGTGGCTGCTGCGGCCAGCGCATGGTGCTGACCTGAAGCCAGGAGCCAGGTGCTTTTCCTGGTCTCCCATGCGGGTGCAGGGCCCAAGCACTTGGGCCATATTCCACTGCCTTCCCAGGCCACAGCAGAGAGCAGGACTGGAAGAGGGGCAACCGGGACAGAATCCGGCTCCCTGACCGGGACTAGAACCTGGGGTACCTGTGCTGCAGGTGGAGGATTAGCCTATTGAGCTATGGTGCCAGCCAAGTTTCCCATTCTTGAGTAGCACATACTTTGTCTAGGAAAGTTAGCTGCAAGCAGTAGTCATTATTGTAGTAACTGTGGCTGTTTTGTAATAGAGATTAGTAGAAGGGAAACCCATTTCCACACTGTTCCTTCGTGAAAATCATTGATATGTCTCTCCTAGTTCTATTTCTGATTCCTCTTTCTTATTCTCTTGATGAATCCTCTTCCTCTGCAACCCCTTAAACAAATGTTGATATGTCCCAGTAACCTCTTCCTGCACTCTTGGATTTCACACTGCTCAAATCTGGAGTAGTAGCCAAGAGTTCCCTCCTGAACTTCAGACTAATAGATCTAGCTCCTTCTTGTGTTCCACCTGGATATTCCACAAACATTATTCATTTCCCACTGTAAGATATGCCCCTATTCTTGTTTTCCCTGTTATACAGTATACCAGCTACCGAGACTCTATCTTCCTGTACCTCCCCCAACCTTGATTGGGTGACCTTATCCTCCCTCCTCTGTTTATCTGAATCTCATTCACTTCTGACCATCCCCACAGCTACTGCCCTTTGTCCCACCTGGTTTCACTAGGCTGTTCTCACCTTCATTCTCACTATCCTTTACCCCACACTTCTTCCCCCAACAGACTTAATTCTTCACCTTGCTTAAAAGCTGTTTTAATAAATGGCTGTCCAGTCTTTTCCAAAGCTTTACCCTTCCATACTATTAAGACACTTTAAGTGCATTTGGCTCAAAAAACCTTTTTTCTAACAATATAGCCTTGCTACCTGAAGTGTGTTTGAGGACCTGTAGCATCTGCATTATCTGGGATTGCATTAAAAATTTAGAATTTTTTCTTATACCTACTGAATCAGAGTGTTCATCTTTTTAAAAAGGTATTTATTTTAAAGGCAGAGTTACAGAGAGGAGAGAGATCTTCCATCCATTGGTTCACTCCCTAAATAGCTGCAGTGGCTGGGGTTGTGCCAGGAGCCTGATTCTTTCAGGTCTTCCACGTGGGTGCAGGGACCCAAGCACATGGGCCATTTTCCACTACTTTCCCAGGTGCATCAGCAGGGAGCTGGATCATAAGTAGAGCAGCTGGGTCTCGAACCAGCCTCCATATGGGATTCTGGCATCTCAGGCATGTGCTTAAACCCACTTCACCACAGTGCTGGCTTCAGAATGTTCATTTTAACAAGATATGCATGTGATTTATGTGTACATTAAAATTGAGAAACACTGATATACACAGTAATGCCTTTTTTAAAACAAATGAGTGAAGAAATTACAGCTAAAAAAAGAAAGAAAGAAAGAAATTAGAGCTAAAGGAGAATCTGATGAAGCCAGAGCTGATTTTCATAAATGAGTGCAGTCAAGGATTCTATTCTGTATGTAAGTTTGGGTTGGGAGGGGGAGCAGTGCTGATTTTGAGGAAGCCAAACAGGACCACTGGCTGAAGCTGAAATGTTTTTACTGTACATGGGTACTAGACTTAACTCTCCCACCACTTCTCTCCTGCCTGTCATATCACTGTACTGACATCAAAAAAACACCTCCAAAGCTAGACTGTCTGACCTTTATTTTTAACTAAAGACCAAGCCCTCCTCGCCAGCTCCCTACTTTTCCTTAGCTGTGGTGGGAAGGTCAAAGGGCTAACAGTAAATAGCCCAGCTAATACAGCACTTTTAGGCTAGTTGGCCAACGCTGGCCCAGGAGTCACTGGCCACAGTTGCTAGGACTGAGGCTCACAACCCTTAAATGGTTTTGGCCCAGCAGGGACTTGCTCCCTGCCGGCTGGGGCGGGGCTTTCAGGTTGAGTGATGGCAGGTGTCCCGCCCTGGGCATGCCGTTGTCCTGATGTTGTTGCCTGTGGCCACAGGTACTTACTCAACTAGTCTGTCTCAGACTCAGTGCCGTGCTCCGTGCCCACAACACTAACTGGTCACCTTCCTGAACCTCCCGCTCTCTATGTCCACATCCACAAACTGTCCGATTCCTGAGGGCAGGGACTGGCTGCCCAGCTGCTACAGCACCACGCCACGGGGCACGCTATACGCCGCTACCCCAGGAGGTCAGCGGGCCAGGTCGACAAGCTGCCAGCAGACCAGTGTGTGTGAGCTGTCACGGGGTAGGGGTGGGGAGTTGTGTGTTTAGTACTGCAGTTCCCTCTGCAGGCTGCAGCTTTGAGGGAGGGTATTTGAAGCTGAGGCTTAGTTTCCATAAACCTCAAGTGATTTAACAATGCCTTGAGCCCAGCTTCCTGATAACTGGGCTATGATTCCTCTCTGGCTTGGATTCTGGGCACCTCAGGCAAACTCCGGGTCCTCCTGAAGGCCTTAGCAGAGAGCATCAGGTCTGGAAGCTGGGGGTAAAAGCTTCAAAGATGTGCAGTGGTTGTTTGGTTGGGCGAGCAGCCTGGGATCACAAGCTGCTGGGCTCCTGATCCCAGGGGTTGCTGCCACCTGGAGGCACAGGGGAGGGGTGAGACCTGGGCAGGGCCCTTTGGGAACACTGAGGGCCAAGACGAAGTTTCTGCAGGCTGAGGCTTACAGGAATTGGGAGAAGTCCAGATAAGAACAGCATGTCCCTGGGGCACTGAGTGAAACCCTTCATTTCTTAATCCAGCTGAAGCTGAATGGTCAAACAAGGAAGTTCTGGAGAGGTAGAGGAGCACCCTTAAGTGCCCAGGCTCTGTGTTTGGTGCTCTTCTTTGAGCCAAGACCTGAAGCTCCCCCAAACATAAAGCCCCTGCCCTGACCATCTGGAATGCCTCACTTGCTGTATGGTACTTACCACATCTGGGGTAGGCCCAAAAGTCTTTAAGTGAATGCTTCTTGTCAGCTGAGATCCTAGCATTGCAGAGCAGGTGGTCTTTGATACAAAGGGTAACATGGGCACATACCCCCTACCTCCATTCTCCAAAGCCTTTTGGGTCCCAGTGACGTCTGTACCCAGTCTCCTGACTCTTACCTGAGACCCTACCCCTTAACAGGCACCAGGACCATCTACGACCGAAAGTTCCTGCTGGAGTGCAAGAACTCACCCATTGCCCGGACACCCCCTTGCTGCCTCCCTCAGATTCCCGGGGTCACAACTCCTCCAACAGCCCCACCCTTCAAGCTAGAGGAGCTGAAGGAGCAGAAGGAGACAGAGGAAGAGATACTCGGTAAGGAAAGCAGGACCTAATATTAAGAAATGCCCCCAGCTCTTGAGTTCAGATGCCCTTGAAGTACAATGGGTATTGAACTCCAAGCGGGGTTTCTGCACAACCTGACCAGCAACGAGTCCTGCTTTTTCTCTCTCCAGATGACGCACAATTTGAAATGGACAACTAATCCAGTGCAGATGAACCCTGTGTGTGGAGTTATAGAGGGATCCCTCGTGCCGCTGCTGCCACCACCTCTTTCTGGGGTATCCAAAGGCCAGCTGGCCTCATCTGATCTGGAAGGGAGTGACTTGTTGCTTCTGGGCCTCTTAGTTAAGAGGCAGCTAGACCAGGGATAAGAGTGGGCAATTTGCCAAGCCCTTAGCTCTACTTTGTCTTTGGTCTGTAGGTACTCCGCCCAACCCCCATCCCTCTAAGCTTAGAGGCTGGGACTGTGGGATGGAGTATGTCACCTCTGTCTGCTTAGTAAACATTCAAAGAAATGTCTTGGCTCCAGTGTTCTCAATGCTGACATTCCTAACTGTCACCAGGTTCTTTCCCAGGTTCCATTAGGCCTACTGGCAACAATTAGAGCCAAGGAAGGTTCTGAGAGCAAACTACAAGAACTGCCAAGCCATAAACAGTAATAGCCTATGCTTGTCAAGAGCTGTTCCTGTCTTTCTAGGAAGCAGTCTTCATAGAACTGGGCCGCCTCTGACCTCCCTAATTCATTCCAAAGCTGAACGCTTGGAAAAGATTTGCTGTTCCCATCTATACAACCACCCTGGTTACTTCACACGCCTTTTCTGCTTCCTACCTATTAAGTACCAATCTCCCATTCCAACACTGAAAACCTGTACTCTCTCTTCTCACAGCACTGTGTCCAACTAAAACCTCTCTGGCCCCTTCCACCCAGGCTTGTTCTCAAAGGTTCAGAAGAAACTGTGGCACCCACATTGAAGCCCAAAATCAGATAGTACCTTCTTTGGCGAGTCAGAGTCCTAATCCCAAACCTCAGGAATCTGGTCTTTTTCTCTTCAGTGTACACTGCATAACCCCACTCGCTGATTCTTACTCTTGTAACACCAATATACCTCAAAGGGGGAGCAGTCTGAGTCTGTTCTCATGCTTAAATGAAATCAAAGTTGGGGCTGCTCCACAAAGGATGTCTGGTGAAAGAGGCAGGCACCAATCTGGTCTTGCCCAGTAAGGCCCTTTGTGATGAATGAACAGAGGTCTGCAGGGTCCACAGGGAGCAGGGCATTTGAGGACACCAGAGGGGACAGAATTCGCATAGGAAGGGCTCGTTTCCTACCCAAGGCCCACCACTGAGATGTTTTTATTAAAATGCATGTTCAGGTAACCCAGGTGGGACCCTTTTCCCATACAAGTGGGTCAGGCCCATGGGATGGTCTCCCTGGTGGTAAGAAGGAGCCAAGTGAGAGAAGTCCTCCCACACCAAGGCATTGGTGATGATGTGAAGTGAGTTCAGGGAACCAACAGGATTATGGAGCTTGTTGAAGGCCTGACATGGTCTCATTCTCGGTTGCAGCTGCTGATTTCTCTTCTTTGGCAGCCTCCTCTGAAGATAAACTCCTTTTTTCTGCAATTAATCTTTTAACTCCCACCATCCACTGACTGACTTCAGTCACATGGTCAACCATGAGTGAGCGGTGGATGTCATCTGCTGCATCCCACTGGCGGCTTGAAAGCTCTAAAGAGGAGACAGGGATTGAGCAAACTATGTGGGATAGAAGACAGACTTCATGCCTCCCATCCCAATCAGCCAAAATGTCAGCACCTGTTCCAGCTCAATCAGCCATGGCAAGACAAAACAAAACACTTAGGCTGTGTCAAAGAACCCACCCATACCTTGCACCAGCAGAGCCATCCTCTTCTTTACCGGCACTGACAGCTTCCCTCCAGCCCACTGTTCCCGTAGCAGTACCAGGCGTCGGCTGATGTCATCACATAGCTGCTTCTGAGAGACAGAATGCCCTTGGAGTCAGTGTTGCCAGACCAACAGAGAGGGAAGCTATCACTAGAAAAAGGACCTGCTTTCTCTGGCCCAGGAAATTTACATTTAGACCTTAGAATGTGGTTCTTTATCCAAAGGTTAGAGGCTCCCACTAAGAACCTAATAAAACCTATGGATTTCCTCCCCCTGCCAAAAACTGCATGTATGATTAAAATTTTTTAATTTCAGGGGTTTTTCAGGTCCCCAAAAATTCATTTGTTACTTTACAATTAAGAAAACTAAAAGCTGAAAAACTTGAAATTACTGCATTACTTCCACGTATCCCTTGCCTCCAGAGAATCTAGGGAAACACTATAGATAGGAAGTACCCAAGCATAGAATCAACAGTATGCTATGTATGGCCTAGAGGTACAGATTATCCGGTTGTTAATTGGTTCATTAATGGAAACTGAATTCTTACAGCCTCTTCCACTAATTGGTTTCTGGAAGTCCAGTGAACCCTTGAATCCTGTGTACATTTTTCTGGACAGAGCTTACCAGATTCTGCAGAAGTCTATAACTGAAAGAATGAAGAGCCCTTGTTTACAGGCGTCTGCCTATGGATGGGAACCCTCTGTACCACTTGGAATGCCAGGGCTTACCCTTGTGTGGCCATGACAGTCCTTCAGTGCCTGTTCCAAAGGTCTCAGCACATCCTCCAACAGGGCCTCAGGCTCAATGACTGGGGAACTTGTGGGCACCACACAAGAGGAAGGACAGCTCTCCACAGGTGGAGGCCCGGGAGCCTTACTCGGAGGTGGAGGCCCAACTGGGGGATGCCCCGGAGATAGCTCTGATGTGGGGACTGAAAGGTAAAGTAGGATCAAACAATACAGAATAAATTCACTGGCACAACTCATTCATACACACACAATGTATATTTATCAGGTCTCTATGCTAGACAATGTGGTAGGCACCACAGATGGTAAACCATCACAGATTATGTTCCTGACCTCAGAGAATTTATAATCTTAGAGGAGGGTAAATTACTAAATTATGTTACGTCATAAAAAAATAAAAATGATGTGATATGTGATGAAGAGAAACGGGGGACCTATCTAGACTAAATTTTCAAGGAAGACCTTCTGAGGTAACATTTAAGTTTATCCTGCTCACCTACTATGTGACTTTCAGCAAGTTATTTTTCCTCTGAGCTTGTGTTCTGCTTAAAATGGGCATATTACTGTAACAGCACTATTCCACAGGGTTGCAGTGAATATAAGGAATACAGGTAGAGCTGCTAGATTTGTGTATAGCAAAAAGTAATCACAAAGCTAGCTGGTTTTATTGAGAGCTAATGGAGGAGAGAGATGTCACTGTAAAAAACTGAAGGAATACGTACTAGATGAAGGGCAGTTCCCAAGAGGCAGGAAGACTTGTCAGGGGACAGAAATGAGGCTTCTGTGTCTGGAAATTATTAACCCTGAAGCAAGTTTTATCTGCTGTCACTGGAGAGGTAAGCAGGGATCCAGACCCTGCAGGGCCTTCAAGTTTTGTCTTGAGCCTAACAGTAACAGGAAGGCACTGAAGATTTATAAAAGCAGAGGGTGGTATGACCCGACTTACTGAAGACATGTGCTCTATGAAAAACTGATGAGAACAGGTCAGAAATGGAGGCAGGTACACCAGGTGAGTGGTTAATAAAGTAGCTCAGGAAAGAAGATGCTGTCCTGGAGTAGGCTGCAAGACTAGCTGATGGAAAATGGACTGGTCTGAGACTGATTTAGGAACAGACAGCAGTAGGACTTTGGTGGGGTGGAAGTAAGGAAGAGTAGTCAAGATTACTTGATTTCTGATTTTAATAATGCAAACCACTGGGAGAGAAAAAACCAAGAGTACTTTTAAGCATCGGCATCAACAAGGATGATTAATTTGTCAATCATTTGGTTTCTCGGGTATCTGAGCGCTTCACCTCCAGTGATCATGTTTGTCCCTCCTACTACCGCTTCTCATGCCCCTCTGCCTTATTCACAATGCACTATCACCTCGGAAGTCTGATCTCCCCTCCCTGCTCTTCCAGCCCAGCTACTCAGACTTCATGGTGTATAAAATCATTCCCTTATAAATTCTTTTGTCTCCTTTACGTCCTCCCACTGTACCACTTTTCTGGTTAAACCCAACTTGCCTGTACCTGGGAAGAAAAATACAACTATGTAGATAGTTATGCTACATGGCTACAGATTTTAGAATGTACTGAACACTGGGTAGTCCATTCTTCAGGACAACTATTTTCACATTTCCTCTAGACTTTCTACCTTCCCCTTTCTCTATTGTCTCTCTGCTTCCTCGTATTTATTAAGAGAATATGCCTCATATTTCATTGAGAAAAGAGTTCATTAAACAGGAACTCAATCATCTTCCCACCACCTGTTCTAATTCACCCGCATATGTGGTCACTTTCCTTCCTTCTATAATAGATGAAGGGGCCGGCGCTGTGGTGTTGCGAGTAAAGCCATGCTCCCTGTGGTGCCAGCCAGCATCCCATGTGGTTGCCAATTTGAGTCCCAGCTGCTCCATTGCCCATCCAGCTTCCTGCTAACATGCCTGGGGAAACAGTGGAAGATGGTCCAAGTTCTTGGGCCCCTGAACCCACATGGGAGACCTGGAAGAAGCTCCTGGCTCCTGGTTTCGGATCAGCCTAGCCCCAGCCACTGGGGAGTGAACTAGCAGATGGAAATCTATTTCTCCATCTCTCCCTCTCTAACTCTGCTTTTCAAATACAAAAATAAGCCTTTAAAAAAAAGAGAGAGAGAGAGAGACGAATGGTTCCTGCTCCTGTTAAAAGCCATCTGTGCAGCTGTACTCTGCATCCCAGCCTCTCATCTTTGGGCTTTCCTCCAGCAGTTTTCCCTTTTCTCCTCCATCATCGGTACTCCCTCTCTACTGAATCATCCCATGAGTCAGCACAGATGCTGTAGTACATACAGTACTATCAGAAACAGCTCCCCTTCACTTTCTGCCCCATTTCTCATCTCTGCTTCACAGAACTTCTTCAATGAGCCATTCATAGTCACTCTGCTTCACACTGTCATCAGCCCGTTCCAGCTGCACAGAGACTGCTCTGTTAAGGTTACCAGTGATTGCGGGGTCCCTTGTCTATCCTACATGTCCACTCAGTAGCATTCTTCACTGTTGACTCATGACTTTATGACATCCCTAATCGGAGTGCCTGGGTTCCACTCCTAGTTCTAGGTCTTGATTCCAACTTCTTGCCGCTGTAAATCCTGGGAAACAGTGATAATGGCTCAAGTAACTGAGTCTCACCCACATGGGAGACCTGGAATGAGTTCCTCTTTCCCAGCTTCAGGCTGACCCAGCCCCAACCTTCTGTGGGCATTTGGGGAGTGAATCAGCTGATGGGAACTTGGTCTGTCTCTTTCAGCCTCAAAAGAAAGTTTTGTGTTTTTTTGTTTTAACTTGCCCATATTACTGTAGTATCCTATTAATTTACCTTTACATTGCCCCTAAAATCTCATTTTCCACAGAGCAGACACAGTGATCTTTTTAAGATGCAAATCAGGGACTGGCAATGTGGCGCAGCAACTTAGGCTGCTGCCTGTGATGCCAGCATCCCATATAGGCACTGGTTTGAGTCCCGGATGCTCCAATTCAGATCCAGCTCCCTGGAACAAAGCAGATGGCCAGAGTGCTTGGGTCCCTGCCATCCACATGGAAGACCTGGATGGAGTTCCAGACTCCTGGCTTCAGCCAGTGGCCATTTGAAGAGTAGAGTATGGATGCTGTCTTTACCCTTCTCACTGTAACTCTCCCTTTCAAATAAATAAATCTTCAAAAGGGGTAAAAAAAAAAAAGACCTAAATCAGTTAGTGATTCCCATGTGGGGGAGGGGGCCCCCCCCCCCCCCCCCCCCGCCGAAGAAATGACTGGAGACATTTTTGGCTGTCATAACTGAGTGGGTACTACTGTTATCTACTGAGTAGAGGTCGGGTATCTTACAATGCACAGGACAGCCCTGCCCCCAGTACAAAGAATCACGTTGTCCTGAGGTTAAGAAACTCCATCTTCTATCATTCTGTGCAGCTTAAAAAATGACCCTGAGTTTCCTATCTAGGGGCAACAGCCCACTTACTGGTCTGAACAATTCTCTGCAGAAAAGGCACCCTTCTCTAAAGTTTTCAGCGGTTTCCTACTTTACAAAGATCAAAATGAAAATTCCTTATTCTGGTTTACAAAAATCACTATACTCTAGCACTGCATATTTTAGTTTCTCCAAACTTGCTGTCAACTCAGGGTCTTTGCACTAGCGTTTGCTTGCTTGGAATACTGCACCTCATCTTTGCATGCCTGGCTTCTAATCATGATTTCAGGCTGTCAGCCGGCTGCTCAGACACCTAATTTAGTTACCGAATCACTACTACATCTCCAACAGCGCTTGGCTCTTGGTGGGTGCTCAATAATACTGACTGAATTAATACCACGTTAAATCAAAGATGCTTATTACATATCTAAGTGAAGAAGCAGAACAAATACACCACTATGGGGTCGAGGAAGATTTAGGTCGGAAACAAAACTGGAAAATACTTTGGGAATAAAAACGATATTAAAACCCATAAGTCTGGACTGGACCACCCAAGATGAGTCCTTTAAAAAAAAAAAAAAAAAAAAAGTGTTACTAACCTGAGCAGTAGCCATGGAGCTCAGAAAAGCGCCTGCCTGCCACCAACCCTTACTGGGGCTCCAAACTGCTTTTATGGAATTCTCGGAAACGCCCTTCAGAAAGGCTTACCCCTGGCACCGCCCATTCACTGCCGGTCTCCGCGCACAGAGCCCACGCACCTCTGGGGGATCCATCCTGCGGGGCTGCAACCCTCTTGGTGAGCGGCGTGCGCTTGGGTCCGCCAGTCTGGGTCTGCAGCCCGTAGGAGAACTGCGGGGGGTCGTTCCATCCACGCTCCTTGTTGCCTGGGGAGGAGACAGGACGTTTGAAGCCAGACGGAACTGCATCCGCAGTTTACACTGAGGCTGAGGAAGGCACAGGGTCCGCCAGCTACGGCGTTACCGCCCCCAGTCTGAGCCGGGGGCGAAGACCCAGCGCCCCGTCTCCCGCGCTCACCCGGCTTCACGTAGAGCTCCGCCATCTCCACTTCCGCACGGCCAGCGAGGCAACACGTCATTTCCGGGGCGGCAGCTCGCGGGCGCCGACTGTCTGGAACCCTTGCGGGTTGACGCTGTGGAGCCCTGTGCCAACTCCCTAAGGAACTCGAAATCTCCTGCAGTTAATGAGCCATCGGGGCCCCGGGCCCCGGGCACCAACGACGCTGTTTTCTCGGAGCCAATGCCGCAGGAGCCTTCATCCTCTCCGGAGCAAATCTCTCCCAGTTCTCTAAGAATTAAGTTCAAATCGCCAGAAAGCCCTGCCCCGCAAATGACTCTCTGATCTAGCCAGGTCAACTTCCAGGGGCCTCACCTCTGCCCACTGCCCTCAAAATCTCCACGTATTTCTGTAGGCGCAGTCACTAGTATTAATCTTCCCTCAGTAATCGGCTTAGACGTCAATTCTTGAGGAAGCCTTCGATAATGCCTCAAGACAGGTTAAGAGCTTCACCTGAGCTCCCACAAGCCTTGGCGATTTCCTCGTTGTACTACTTAATAGCTTCAATATTGTTTGATTTGTCTCCTCTCTAATAGCCCCATAAGGTGGGACTCCTGACTAGTGTGTCCCAGTGGCTAGTTTAGTGCCTGGAGCAAGTATAGTTGTTGAATGAAGTCAGATTTCCATCACACCAAGCACAGACAGCAAGAAACTCACTACATATAGGTTATTAGCCTCCCAACCCTGTCCCACGCCCAATATAGCCACACCTAGTGAGGTCACTGAAGGATTTTTATTTGCACTGATTTTGCTATAAAGTGTTGCTGAGGTAGAGCCAACTGTCAAGGGCTGGACAAGGGCAAGGAACACAAGGACCCAGAAAAAGGAAGCCAGGGGCCTCGACTGTGGTCCAGGGCCTCCCAGTCATCCATATAAACAATAGACGGGGAACAGAGGGTAGGCAAAGACAGGAGGGGCAGGCAGAGAAGGCTCCAAGAGGTAAGAGGCTGCAGGCCCCTGGGGAATGAAGGGGTCAAGAGTTGGGCATGGACCCAGAGCCTCCTTCCCCAGCCCTCCCAGGTCAATTTAGGACATATGGAGCAGAGAAGGTTTCAGCCTGAAGGCCTCAAGAAAAGAGAAGACACCCCGCTTTCGAGGTGCTGCTCCTGCACCCCCAACCCCTCCTTTGAGCAGGGGGAGTGGTGGGGGGCCTCCTGGGGAGTCCATGGAGCTGGTCCGCTTGAGCCGCAGGCGGGCACGGGCCTGAGCACCCCAGGCCTTGCCTCGAGCTGCAGAGGCCACAAGACACTTCTGGTACTGAACCTAGGGAGAAGGGGAATGTGAAGATCCAGCTACTTTCTGTCCCCTGAAAGCCTCTGCAGCACACAGAACTGGCCAAGACTTCTGTGATACAAGGCTGGTCGTTGGCCACAGCTGGAGTTCCCACAGCATTCCCAGGTAGCTCATTAACAAAAACATAAAATTCAACATTTACTGAGTACTTAAGAAGGGCTGGACACTGCGGTGAGTGTTTTGTACAATGCAGCTTAATCTGGTTATTTATGAGGTGTGTTTTCTCCATTTTACAAATGAGGACATAAGATTCAGAGAACAGATGAATGACTTTACCAAGGTCACACGGCCAGAAAGTGGTAGAATCAGCATTCAAACTCAGTGTTGTCACACTGCAGAGCCTACCACTTGGCTGCCTCTCTTCCATCTCTCAGTGGTGTAGACTGGTCCCTAGCAGGGCACATTCACTACTCACAGGGAGCATCTACAACCAACGCTCCAGTCCCACTGCAGCTGCACCAGTTATCTCCAGTCGGAACTAGTCAAAGGGGCTAACTGGCCTTTCTAGCCTCCTTGTGCCCTCCCAGTCTTTTATCCACCCTACACTGTAGTGAGTCATCCTAATCCACAAACATGACTTCACTGTCCCGCTGAATATTGTTCAATGGTTCCTAGGGCCTTGGGATAAAATACTCACTGTCCTGACCTATAAGGTCCTCTATGACCTGGTTTCTGCCATTCTTTTGGCCTTCATCTTCCACTCCATCCCTTGGCTCCCTTACATACTCTAACCCATTAAGATCTCTCTCACCTTCACAACTGAGGTTCTCTCTGCCTGGCACATCTGCCCCCCCCCAACCTGGTCTACTGTTTCCTTGGATCTTTAACTCCTATTGTCCATCACCTCTTAGAGGTAGCATTCCTGACCCCTGAAGGGGCCATCTCCTCCATCATCTCGTGTGTCCTTCTCTCTGGTCTGTCTCTGCAGCAGCTCAAGTATTTTATGAAGGCAAAAGCTGTGCTCTCCAGACCTGAATCCCGAGGGTCAAATATGAGGCCTGGTACCTGCAGGCACCATTTATTGAATGATGAGTGAACTAACAGAGTTTAGGTATCCCACACTCAAATGCCCATGGACGCCAGGCAATAACCTAAATGAGACCTGCAGGAAAGACAACGCCCTTCCTGTCATGTATAGCCTACACACAACTCCAGTGGCATGCTGAAACTTATCCATGTGAACCCAGTGTTGGAGCCCCTGATATTTTTTAAAAAGTGAGAATAACAATTACTATGTGAAATGTCCTACTAGTTTTTAAAGATTGGCAACTAAAGAAAATGTCCTAAAAACATAAGGGCCCAAATACTAGTGAACCAGAGTCAGCCCTGGGGTTACTGGTTTGTGATCTCCGGAGGGGCTGCCAGGCCTGAGTGTGACTCAACCACACAGAGCAGCCACAGGGCAATCCCACCTGCCTGTTCCCACCCCTACTCACCATACAGGCAGCCTGCACAGCTTCGGAGAGTCCCCCGGCATGGGGCTGGCACCAGAAGGCTGCACACTGGAAACTCTGATGGCCCAGGTCGGCGATGAGGCCGAAGGTGTGTGGGTCACGGCCAACACCAATGAAGGTCACGAGGCGCACAGGGCATTGCCACAGTGGTTCCTCCTCTGCACGGGCCTCTGCCTGCCCACACCAGGGCTAGTCACTGGCAAGCCGGATCCCCTGACCTCTTCCAGCAGCAAGCAATGACCCCTCAGCAGCCCTGCTCACCACCCCTCCTCCACCCTAAGTTCACCCTCTGCTGGTACCTGAATGGGATGTGCAGTCATGAGAGAATCAGATACACTGATCATGGCAGGCACCCAGGTGCTCCGGTCCCCCCGGACGGTGAGGGTACCAATGGCCTCGTTCAGCACGTCCATGCCTGGGGTGACATGCCCACAATGGTATCTCCCAGGTGTGAAGAAAGAAAGGATCAGTGGGCAATGCTTAAGACCCTCTTACTGACTTGGAATTCAGAGATGGGAAAGGGGTGGCTGAGGCTGGGCCTAGCATTCCACCCTAGGAAGACTGGTATTTGGCAGACCATGCATACAAGGCCCTGGGAGGACTCTGGGACATGGTGGTGGACCCCATGTCACCCACCTTCCTTTTGCATTACATAGCCCCATCCACACACCCCCCAATCCTGCCCTCAGTCCTCACCCATGGCTTTGGGGACTGGCAGGGTCCCAATGTACAGTGCCTCATACTTCTGAGCAGCCTGGCTCACCGCATCCAACAGCTCCACTGAAATATACACACCATGTTGGCCTGGGAGCTCTCCCAGTGACCTCGTTCCCCTTCCCGTGAGGGCCAGACCCAGACCAAAGCTGATGCTGGTAGAACAAAGCCCGTGGATGCTCTTCCAATTCAGGGCTTGGAATCCTGGGACCAGACACCTCAGAAGTCCAGTTCCAGACAAGTATTAAATAACAGAACCACACCCACTCCACCCCTGCATCTTTCACCAAAGCAGCCCAATGCTGCAACGTGGCACCCAGCTACCCATACCTTGCCGCGGTAGGTCTTCAGGAGAAATGGGGTCCAGGGAGCAGCAAGAGCCATCATTACTGACCCCTACTCGCTCTGACAGGATCTGAAATGCAGTGTAGCCATATACCACTCTGCCCCAGTACTTTGGAAACTTCAGCGCCTACCTACATTCCCTGCCCCACGCCTGGCTCTTACCTGGGCGCAGAGACCATGTAGGGCACTGGCAATGGCCTTGGCAGGGACATCACAGCGGAATACATGACATTTGAGCATACAGCTGTCTTTGTCACCCGCCACAAAAGCGAAGTCCCTGGCAGAGGCAGAGATGGGGCTGGGGTAGCTGGTTAGGGGCGAGGGTCAGTAGTGCCGGCAGTAGACTGGAGTCACGCCAGGGACATGGCACGGATAGAGTAGGGAGTTCAGGGGTAGGGCTTAGTGTACCTGGTGGTCACTCACCTGTCACTGTTCCAGAAGCATGTGGGAGCACAGGAGAGAATCAGCCCAGCCTCTTGGGCTCTCCCTAGTCTGTCCCTGCTGAGCGGGGCCCACCCTCCCCAACCAGGGCTTGACCAGGCAGGGGAGGCAGTGCTGGGTCCATGGCAGAGGATCTGTGTCCAGGGGTTCAAATACCAGGGAACAGCATCAGTGGGGAATCACAGCCTGCAGGGGGAGGGAGAAGCAGCTCTCGCTTGGGGGAATGCAGGAGTCCTCACCGACCCTTGGAGCTGCCCACGCCCCACACACGGATGTGCACCAGAGGCTGGCAGTGGATCAAACTGTGGTCCAGTGGATTCACCAGGCTCATGGCGTCCTTCTTCAGGATCATCAGCATGTTCTGGCCCTGCCAAAGGCAGAACCCAGCCCAGAGTTCAGATGAAGGTAGGTGTTCTAGTGGCAGGTAATTCAGGGGCAACTCCGTCTCCCGGGCGCTTGGGCTCAACCCTTTGTGGGAGCCAGACAGCTCACCTCGCCCCAGGCACTGTCTGGAGGCTGGCTGCGGCTGCGGGTCTGAGCCAGCTGCTGGATGCAGTTATTAACTGCAATACTGCTCTTCCCAGGGGCCAGGTCCTCTTCGGGTACCTCTACCCATCCCAGAGAGCGGACGGCAAAGCACTGACGGATTGGGGGAAGGGACAGGAGTACAGAGATGGGGCACAGCCGCAGGTGCAACAGGTTTCACACATTCAAACACACTGATAGTCCCTCCCTTCACATTTGATCACCTCTGCTCAGTCCTTTCCCACCCCCCGGAACCTCCCAATATCCGGGGCGAGCTCTTGGGTCCAGTCACTACCTTTGCTCCTGGCTCCAGGCTTTGGATGTAGGATTCTTCACCATACCAAGACAGAGGGCTACTGGAACAGACCATAACATGGGTAAGAGGAACACACTTCCTATCATAAGTGCACTGGTAAAACCCACACTATTTGATGACTACTTGGTGAGCACAGCACAGGGGACAGGAGTCAGAATACAGCACCACGGATATAAAGATCAGAATAGGATGGGACCCAAGCCATGTTAAACTTGCTTAACTTCAAGTGTGGCTTAGAATTTGTGGAGAAACTCAGGACACAGAAATAGAATTAAAAAGTCACAAGCATGCAGGGTCCATCATGTGGCCCCAAGCCCCAAACTAGAACAAGAGACTCTAGAATCAGGAACAGAACCACCACGCAGATCCTAAGATAACAGCCAAGATCTAGAACATGCTAGGTCAGGACTAAAACACTAAAAAGAGCAAAAAGCTCAGACAAGAGTTTAGCACACCGTGAAGAACATGGGACACAGCCAAGAACACAGAACAGAGCCCAAAACATGGGACAGAGTCCAGAACCTGGTCTGGAAATCAGACCGTGGGTCCAGCTGCATTTCTGAATGCCACAGAATCTTAAGTCTCTCATTTTGTCTGAGCTGTGTCCCTTACCTTCGGTCCAGTGAGCTCTCCAGGCTGGAGAAGGATCGTCCTTTCGGGGGGCGCAGTCCCCAAATCCTTTCCGACCCCTGTAGAGTGGAGATCAGTGTAATAGCAGACCAACGTCCCTACATGGGCCCAAGTCCCCTCCTCGCGCTCCACCTACCTTGCCTGGGTCCTCTGCATCTCCTAATTCCCAGGTTGGGCGCTGCCACTGGGTGCTACCGCTGGGTACATGCCAATAATAAGTACCAGCAGCATCGCGGATTTTCCTCCAGCCAGGGGGCAGGCCTGGTTCCCCCTCCAGATTCTGGTCCCCCCACAAGTCATCTACAGAAACACGGGATGGAAGAGGGGGAGCATATTGTTCGTGAGTTCAGAATAACAGCCTGTCAGAACTCTCCCTCCGTTTCAAAGGCTGGAGGTCCAGAAGACATCGCGAGTAAAGATCAGGGCTCACTTGACACCTGGTCCTCACACCGAGACGTATCCCACCACCACCCTGACTTTGAGCCTCCGAAAAGCCTTTCCCGCTCCTTCGTCCCCCCTCAGCTCCTGGTCCTCCCACCCGGACCCTTCGTGCACACCGTCGCAGTTGACCAGAATGATGGCCAGCATGTAATCCTTGCCCAACATAGCCCCGGCCGCGGCCCCGCCGGCACTCCCAGCCCAGCGCGACCTCCGGAGCTGCTGCGCCGAGCAAGCCCAGCCTCTCTGCGCCGGAGACGGCCCTTCCAGCTGGCGCCGCACAGACACTGGGCGGGGAAGGGGCTGGTCCCGGGGGCGGGAAGGGGAGGGCCTGAGCAGCACCGCCCGCCGAGGGGTGGTGCGTGTAGCCTGGCGTGTGGATACCCGAGTGGGTGCGCGCTTCCGTGCGTGGGCAGACCCACCGACGCCGGACGGCCTGCTGACGCCACAACGCAACTATGAGTTCATCAGGAGGCGGGAGACCGCCCAGGCCTTCGTGCAGGCGGAGGTTTGCGCATGAATGAGAACATGGCGCCCGGGTCGTGTGCGCGCACACGTTCAGCCTGGGACGCGACGGGAGGGGTCACACGGAAGTATCTGTGAGGAAACCGCCGGCCCCGCCGGCCCCCAGCATCCCAGAAAGCGCTCCACCCTCTCCAGAAATGCCCCGGAAGTGCTTCTGCCCTCAGTAAAGATGGCCACAGCGCTGGCTATGAGGAGGCGGGGCTGCGTCTGCGCAACAAGTTAGGCGGAGAAGATGGCGGATGACAAGGTGAGTGCATGTGGGGTGGTCTGCAGTCGTGTGGTCACTACACTCCATGACCTTAATTCTGGGGGAAGGTGACGCTGGAACTGCTCAAGCGTGACGGTGTCCCTTGTTTCCCCGAAGGCTCTTGTAGACTGTCTCAACAGTGGGGGAGGGCGGTTTAGGAAAGCGGAGCCGGACCCCCGCGGTCCAGCCACCCCGCAGCGGGACCACCGTCGCCCAGCTACTACCATACACACTGAGGCATTCACTGCTCTCTCTTCCACGTCCTAGGCCCCGAGTTATTCCCTGCAGAGACGCAGTGTTTCCTGTCCACATGGAAACTCAGACCGCCCTCGACTCCCTTTTGCACACACTGAACTTCACACTTAGATGCAATCAACGGCATTCAGTTGACTTACTCTTATCAACAGTTATTACCTATCGCATCCAGTAACTCACATTCAGTTTGGGGTGGCCTTGGCAGGAGGAGGGTGCAGCCTGGGCAGAAATCAGTTTGACCCCAGGTTGTTCACGGAAGTGCCTTAGGCCATTACTCAATTTTGTTCTGGAAGCTCAGCAGAACTCCCGCGTCTGGGTGCTGGCCGGTCCCTGCAGGCCCTGGGACACAGCAGTCAAGACAGACTGGTCCCACTTTTAGGGTACTTGTGGTCCAGTTAGTGGTGCTTTCTTGACAGACCTAATTGAAGGTTCTCTAGCTGTCCCTGCCTCCCCTACACACTACTTGCTATGTAAAATTCCTGGAGGGTTTGTTAAAAGTTATTAGTGCCTCTCCCGTCGGTCCCCTCCCCGGCCCCCACGTTTTATGGTTATTGTCTTTCCTCCTTTATCACTGCCATCTCAGGAAGGCTTTATAGGAAGAGATTTCGTTGGTTCACTCCATCCTCAACTCCCAGCCGTTGTTCACTAGAACAGAGGAAGGGGCAGCTGTTTGGTACAATCGTTAAGACACCACTCGAGGCCAGCGCCGCGGCTCACTAGGCTAATCCTCCGCCTTGCGGTGCTGGCACACCGGGTTCTAGTCTCGGTCAGGGCGCCGGATTCTGTCCCGGTTGCCCCTCTTCCAGGCCAGCTCTCTGCTATGGCCTGGGAGTGCAGTGGAGGATGGCCAAGTGCTTGGGCCCTGCACCCCATGGGAGACCAGGAGAAGTACCTGGCTCCTGCCATTGGATCAGCGCGGTGTGCTGGCTGCAGCGCGCCGGCTGCGGCGGCCATTGGAGGGTGAACCAACGGCAAAGGAAGCCCTTTCTCTCTGTCTCTCTCTCTGTCCGCTCTGCCTGTCAAAAAAAAAAAAAAAAAAAAAAAAAAAAAAAAAAAAACACCACTCGAGACTCCCACATTCCATATCCAAGTGCCTGGGTTTGACTTCTGGTGCCAATTCCAATTTCTGCTTCCTGCTTAGATGCACCCTGGGAGACAGCAGATGAAGGCTCCAATATTTGCGTTCCTACCACCCACCTGAGAGACCTGGATTGGGCCCCGGGCTCCTGGCCTTGACTTGGCCCAGCCCTGGCTATTGTGAGCATTTGGGTTGTGAACCAGCAGATGAAAGATGTGCTCTCTCTCTCTCTCTCTCTCTGCCTATCATGTAAATAAACATTTTTTTAAAAAAATTGTTGGGGATGGTTCAGGCTTTTTTAAATTTACTTATTTTATTTGAAAGAGTTATAGAGAGGCAGAGACAGAGAGATAGCTTCCATCCTCTTGTTCATTCCTGAAATGGTCACAATGGGCAAAGCTGAGCCGATCCGAAGCCAGGAGCTTCTTCTATGTCCCCACATGGGTGCAGGGGCCCAAGGACTTGTGCCATCTTCTGCTGCTTTTCCAGTAGGGAGCTGGATCAGAAGTGGAGCAGCCGGAACTCACCAGCTCCCATATGGGATGCTGATGCTGCAGGCAGTGACTTTACCTCCTATACCACAGCGCTGGCCCTGACGGGTCAATCTGTTGGAACCAACCTCTCCCTTGTTCTAGGATTCTGTATCCAAGCTTAAGGACCTGACATTCCTCAAAAACCAGCTGGAAAGCCTACAGCGACGTGTGGAAAGTGAGGTCAACAGTGGCGTGAGTCAGGTAGGGGCTGCTCTCCCTCGTCCCTTAGGTTTCATTACCCAGCATGCTCTTGTGAGTTTTGCATGGGTGATAGAGATTTATCCAGAGAATGGTTATTGTTATCTGTTTTCAGATACCCCAAGGAAAGTTTCCCTGAGAAAATGGTGCTTGAGCTGAGGTCTTAAGTAGGAGTTAACTTGGTGACGAGGGGAGGAAAAATCATTCCAGGCAGATAGAACAGCATAAGCAAAGCTCTTGTGATGGGAAGTAGCATTATGAACTTGACGGAGTAGAAGGAGGTCAGCTTGGCTGCTATAATTGGGAGCGTGCCAGGAAATGAGGCCAGAGAACTAGGTAGGCATCGGATAACCTGGACATCTCTGGCCCTCATTAGGGTTTTGTGGTTGGAACCTTCTGATCCCAGGGTTCTGAGATTGTGTGATCAGGGTTCCTAAGTTCTTTTTCTGGTGCCATAACCTTGAGGAAATCTTTAGAGAAAGTATCGCAGCTGTCCCGAGGGAAGCAGGGCAGGTGGTGGAATGCTGTCAGCCCAGTTTGAATAGCCCCTGGGCAGGAAAGGGGAGAGCCTGGCTGAGTTTGCTTCTGCATTTTTCTCCACAGGATGGCTCACTCTTGTCCTCCCCATTCCTCAAGGGATTCCTGGCTGGCTATGTGGTAGCCAAACTGAGGGCGTCAGCCGTATTGGGCTTTGTTGTGGGCACCTGCACTGGCATCTACACAGCTCAGGCATATGCTGTGCCCAACGTGGAGAAGACATTGAGGGACTATTTTCGGTCACTGCGTAAGGGGCCAGACTAGTTCTGGATCCCATGGGGGAGGCAGGATGAGCAGCTGGGGCCTGCAAGTGGAGGCCTTTCAATCGCAGACACTCTGTGTGGCTTCCCTGGCTGCTACCTATTGGCTTTTTTCAACTTCCCTGCTACCTTCATCTTTGCTTCCCTTCCTGCAGAGGGTGGGTGGTAGCTTGTCAGCCTGCACCGTGGACTCCTTCTTCCCTCCCTAACTCCATGGTACTGTTCCCAAGACTGTGGCTTCGAGGGCCAGCAGCCCCTTCCTCTCCCAGCCCTGAGCTCCCAGTCTGCAGCTGACTCTTATCCTCAGTATTCTCTCTGGCGATGTGCCACGGCTCCTCCCTCCTGCGCATCAGCTCTATAACTTGATTTCCCGCAAACATATTGCAACTCCCGCTGTCCCTTGCCTAGGTATACAGGCCACTTGGTCTGGTGTGGGCATGAGTGTAGAGGACGGGGGTATGCCAAGCCTGGGCCGTCCACGGCAGGCCCGCTGGATCCTGATGCTACTCCTGTCCACTGCCATGTATGGTGCCCATGCCCCGTTGCTGGCACTGTGTCACGTAGACGGCCGAGTGCCTTTCCGGCCCTCTTCAGCCGTGCTGTTGACGGAACTTACAAAGCTGCTGCTGTGCGCCTTCGCCCTCCTGGTGGGTTGGCAAACATGGCCCCCAGGAGGCCCACCCTGGCGCCAGGCTGCTCCCTTCGCACTATCAGCCCTCCTGTATGGCGCTAACAACAACCTGGTGATCTATCTTCAGCGTTACATGGACCCCAGCACCTACCAGGTGCTGAGCAATCTCAAGATCGGAAGCACAGCCCTGTTCTACTGCCTGTGCCTCCGGCACCGCCTCTCCGCACGCCAAGGGTTAGCACTGCTGCTGCTGATGGCAGCAGGGGCCTGCTATGCAGCAGGTGGTCTTCAGGAGCCTAGGAACCCTCTTCCCGAGACCCCTCGAGTAGCTGCTGCCAGCCCCATGCCCCTGCATATCACTCCACTCGGACTGCTGCTCCTCGTCCTGTACTGCCTCATCTCGGGCTTGTCATCTGTGTACACCGAGCTACTCATGAAGCGACAGCGGCTGCCCCTGGCACTTCAGAACCTCTTCCTCTACACTTTTGGTGTGCTCCTGAACCTAGGTCTGCATGTGGGCGGTGGCTCCGGCCCAGGATTCCTGGAAGGTTTTTCAGGATGGGCAGTGCTGGTGGTGCTGAGCCAGGCGCTCAGCGGCCTGCTCATGTCAGCTGTCATGAAGCACGGCAGCAGCATCACGCGCCTCTTTGTTGTGTCCTGCTCGCTGGTGGTCAACGCCGTGCTCTCGGCGGCCCTCCTGCAGCTGCAGCTCACAGCCGCCTTCTTCCTGGCCACACTGCTCATCGGCCTGGCTGTGCACCTGTACTATGGCAGCCGCTAGCCCCTGCTCCCTGACCCTAGACCCTATAGATCGGGCACCACCTTCAGAGCCACCCCCAGGTCTCCGACCCCCTCCCCTCAGCAGCCCTGTAACAAGTGCCTTGTGAGAAAAACGGGAAGTGAGAGCATCCAGATCGGTGTCTGGGAGGTGGATGGATAATGGGGTACCTCTGGGAGTTGTGAAGAGTGGGCTTGGTTAAGGAAACTCTTGCCCTCCCTACCCCCAAGTTCTTCCAGACTAAGGAATTAAAATCTAGGCCTGAGAAATGACCCTATCCCTGATGAGGGAGGCACTCTGCCTTATCTTGGATGAATGCAGCTGCTCAGAATAGGGTGTGGGTGACAGGTGGCTTTCCTTGCCAGCTGTGGTCATCCCCACAGACCCACTTCTCCCAGGCCTGGTACTTACTGCTCCAGACACCATAAGGGATACTTAACCCCTGACTGTCACGCAGGAAGAGCCAGTTGCCACAGTTCATACAACCACCACTCAGGCGCTCTGCCAGCTACAGTAGTGCCTGGAGATGTGCCCCCCCCCCTCTGCAGCGCTGCTCCCCTCCCCCAGCCTTGGTTCTGGAAACCCCAGAGAGGGCTGCGGCTTGACTATCTCAGGGAATGTTGCCCCTGGGCCCTGGCTTAAGCCCATACTTCTGACATCTCCTTACCCCAAGGGCCCTCTTGAAGCCCTTCGCCATCTCTAAAGCTCCTAGGAGATACCATCCTTCCCACTCTGGGTCCTGCTCCAACCTGGCAGTGTCCCAGCTTCAACAGCCTGGGGAAGCTCTCTGCAGAGTGACCGGTTACAGGAAACTTCTAAGTTCAATCAGTGTCTCTAATTGCATAAGCAATAAGGTGTTAATAAAGTGTTCTAAGGTCTGGGCTGGTTCCTACAACTGGCTATGATTGTCCTTTATTGTCTTTGTTGCACAGTTCTTCTCAAACATAATTTTGTTTCCCCTGGTGTCCTGAGTATTTTAATTCTGGAGAAACTTCTAGACTAGAAGAACATGATGTTTGCTCCCAGCATTATTTCTTCTAGGAGTTCTATGGAGCTGGTGCTGTAGCTTTTGAGACTCCTCTAAAGTGCAAATCTTGGGCCCTGGGGTTGTGGGGAGAGTTGAAAATAGAAGCTACAAGACCCAGCAGGACAAATGACTCCAGGCTAGAAAACTGATTGCAAATGGTCTGATTCTCATTTCCTCTGCTTCCCTCATTGATGACTCCAGATAGCATCTATGCTTTAAAATCATGGCTAGAGATTGGGCATTTAGCTTAGTGATTGAGATAGCTATGTCAGAGTTCCTGAGTTCAAGCCTCTGCTCCGCACTCCAGTTCCGTGCCAGCGTAGACCAGGAAGCTGCAATGATGGCTCAAGTAATTAGATTCCTCCCACCCATGTGGAGACGTGGATTGTCATTGCAACTCTGGCTCCAGCCCTGGCTTTTGGAGAGCAAACCAGTAGATAGCTTTGTTTACATCTCTGCTTTTCAAGTAAATTCTAAAAATTAAAAAGTCATGACCAGAGGAGTGATTCTGTGGTAGAATACCTGGTGAGCTTGTGAAATTAAAAAAAATAGTGTTTGGCCTACCCCAGACCTATAAGAATCTTAGAGACTTGGGGTGGGGAGAGGTTGGGAATATTTTTTCCCACTTTAAGCAGGCTCCCTGAGTGCTTCCCAGATTCTGATGCACACTGAAAGGTTGAACTGCTGCTATCTGCAGCGTAGAACCATGGCCAGAATTGATTTTGAATCTGGCTCTGCTGCCACTTAATCACTGACTGTCCTTAGGCTGCTAATCGCTCCTGGCTTCAGTTGTCACATCTCTGAAACGAGGATCAAACAATACCTACCCATAAGGCAGCTGAAAAAAACTAAATGAAATAGTGGATGCTGGGTGCTAAGAGACTGGCACAATGAGACATGGTTACTAGTATTATTGATGATCTGTAATGAGGGTTAACTTGGTTGTGTCCTACCTTCCTCTCAATTAGGACCCACAAGACAGGAGAGAGAACTGACCCCATACACCTAGTCTGTTCCCTGCTGGAACTGCCAGTTCTGGGCTTGGAGCTCCTGGTTCTGTGTGGCCAGCTTGATGTTGTCTTGCAGGACACCAGCCAGCAGGCTGCGATGATGGCGCTCTGTAGTCACGGCCTTCTCCTCCCACAGCCTCTGCCAGGCTCGGAATACCTGTGCCCAAATTCAGAGAAGCCTGTGGGTCAGCCAGCTGTGGCAGCAGCCCAAAGCACATCCTCATCCCCACTGACCTGCAACATGTGGCATGTCTGAGCTTGGGCGGCCCGCACGTGCAGGTCATAGAGAGCTGCCAGGTCCTGCTCTGCGCTGTCCCGCTCTGCCTGCAGGGCATCCAGCTGGAGCCTCAGCACTGTCTGCTCCCGGCGCCACCTCCGCCTCGCCTCGCAGGCCTTCAGTGACAATATGTACCTTGTTGAATGCCACCACATGCCAGGCTCTGTGCTAAATACTTTGTGTATTAGCTCCTTATGGGGTCGTGACCATTTTATGGATTTGGAAACTGGATTAGACAAGTGACCTCACTTTCCCAAATTCCTATGGCTAGTAGGGGACATAGAATGAGATGGCACATTCATATTTTCCTGGAAGGAAAATCCAAATCCAGCAGTGTGGCATACACCTGTGCCTTTAGCCTTGCTCTGACTACACGCTGGGCTCCAGCCAGACTAGACAGCTGGTGCTTCCGAGAACCCCTTCAGTTACTGCTTCCTTCTGGAGCTTTGCTCATACAGTTTTGTTGTGAGAATATACTCTCCTCTCCCATGTCATGTACATAAGTTCTTAATTTGTTCAGACAGGTTTGCTGAGTGCATCTATCAGGGGTGGGTAATGTCCAGCCTGCAGACCATCTAAAGCCCTTGAAAACATTTGGTCTCTCCCTGGCAAGGCAACCACAGGCAGGGCTTGAAGCTAGGTAGGTCTGTAGCAGGATAATTTTTAAGTTGATAGTTGTGTATGGCCCAAGAACTTATAAACATCCACATGGCCGTTAGCAGAAAAAGTATTCCCCACCCCTTTATATAAGCAACACAAATTGCCTTTGTGGAGCTGGGAATCTAGTGAATTTCTCTGGCTGATTTGTTTGCCATTTGAGTTTCAACTTAGATGCCCTCTGCTCTGATCCACACCAGCCTGGGTCAGCTATGCCTCTTTGTACCCACAAGCCCCCAGAACCCCCATCCCAGCCCTTAGCATGAGAATTGCCTCATCTGTGGCTCGCAAGACAGAGCCTTGAGAGATGTGAGCCCACTGGTTGCGGTTGATGCTGGGTCTCAGCCCCCAGCACAGTACCTGGCCCAGTTATAAGGAGCCTCAGGCCCCTCCACCCTTCTAACCTCCTCTTCAGTCACCAGGTCTTTGTCCTGTTCACTTGCCACCTCCTTCTCCTCTTGTTCCAAACGCTTCAGCTCCTCTTGGATCCGAATTTGGTGCTGCTCTCGTAGTCTCTGCCTCCGAGCCTGGGCCAGGAAGAACTGCAAGGCCACATCTGGGGCCTTTTGGGCCTAGGTAGCATCAATCTAGGCTAAGCCAGAAGCCCACGTGTGCACAAAGCTTTGAGACACAGAGCCCAGCTTTTCCAATAGAACCTCATTGTCAGGGCTGCTTCCAGAACTAAATTCAGGACCTAGCTGGCCTGGAAGAGCCTGTGGACCCTTGCCCCTAATCCAACCCAGTGGGAAAGTAGCCCCAATCCTCTCTCTTCCCTGAGGGATTCAGGGTCCCTGACTTGCCCGGTATGTATTTCTCCATGATTTCAGGGCAGGGTAAACAGAAGGCAGATTTGCTGAGCTCTGCAACTCTGCTCAGTGGTCAATCATTCTTGGAGTCCGTGTGGTCTTACCTGTTCCTCAGTGTCCCCAAGAGGGTGCTGTGGGTGGAGCCCAGATCGTAGAGTTGCTGTTCTTGCTGCTAAAGGAAAATGGAAGTAACCATACCATAGGTGAAGAAGACCACTCTCCCCATAACCCCCATGTCCCAGATCACCTTAAGGCTCCCCTTGAGGCCTGGGTTCTGGCTTGCTATTGAATCTATCACAGACTGACAATTCTGTACCCTTACTCCTAGAACAATACAGGTTAAGCTTGGGGCTTTGAAACTGGATCAGGGTCCTGGCCCCTCCTTTTCTTGTCTGTATGACCTCAGGCAATTGACTAACCCTTTGCATCTCCATGTTTTGTAAAATAGAGCTGATAAAAGTTGCAGAGAGCATGAGATAAGAAATGCACACAGAACCTTGAGCACTTAGGCACCTCTTAGTAAATGGAGACTAACATGCCTAATGCCTGGGCCTTTTCACCTCATTCCACCACACCCAGGGCTCTAAACACAAGATGCAAATAACCATGAAAAGGGAAGTAAAGGGACCCATGATGTGGTGTAGCAGGCTAATCCTTCACCTGAGTTGGCATCCCATATGGGCACCACTTCCTGTCCTTGCTCCTCTTCTTCTGATCCAGCTCTCTGCTATGGCCTGGGAAAGCAGTAGAAGATGGCCCAAGTGCTTGGGCCCCTGCACCCGCTTGGGAGACCCAGAAGAAACTTCTGGGCTCCTGGCTTTGAATCGGCCCAGCTCCAGCTGTTGCATCCATTTGGGGAGTGAACCAGTGGTTGGAAGACCTTTCTCTCCATCTCTCCCTCTGTAACTCCACCTCTCAAATAAAAAGGAAGAGAAGGACCAGGAGAAGTTGGGCAGGAGCAGGGTTTCAACCATCCACAACACATCATAGCACACAGCACCCCTTTATGCACAGGAAAGGCCATGCCTAATGGGATGAAGGAGCACTGTATTTGGCTTCTAGGGTCTGGAGTATGATTGCATCTCTGCTGCCTCTGGTTATGCCAGTGGCTATGGCCTATTCACATCTCTTCTGAGTGTGAATTCACTCACCTGAAATGTAGGAACATTGTTGTCTTCCCTGGTTAAAATACTTCAGTGGTTCGCCTTTGACCTTCAAGCAGAATCCAAACACATCAGTAAATTTACAAGTCCCTGTGTGGCCTGTCCCCTGCTTTCCTTTGCAGGCCCTCTCTCCTGACTCTCAAATTCTGTTCTTCTGCAAGTGAAGCCATTTGGAGGCACTTGCTTACCTCTGAGTCTCTGCCTATTGTTTTCTGTCTGAAATGCTCTTCACTTATCTTTGCTGACCCCCTTCAGGAATCACTTCCTCCATTAAATCTTCCTTCCTTCTCTTGCCAAGACTTAGATGCCCCAGAGAACACTGTTTTTTAGAAGCCTTTCAGAGCACTGATCATGGTGTTAAAATGTTTTTTTCCCAGCAGATCGTCAACTGCACAGGATGGGGAATACGCAGGGCTGTGCCCAGCACACAGTGGGTGGTCACTAAATGTTTGGGAATCAATAAATCAATGAATGACTAGAGGGCTGCCTCGTGGTATTCTGTAAACACAGGAGAGGAAAGCATATATAAATGGGGTTCCAGAGAAGCTGGGTGAGAAAAATACCTGTGGTTCTGGGAGCCCCCCAGCCTCAGCTCTGGCCCTTTGGAATGTCTGGCTTCTCAGGGGCTGACTCCAGGCTTTTACCACCTATGGAGGGAGAATTCATGGTGGACATTGGCCGATGCTTTCCCAGGTGCCCACAGGCCTTACCTGACTCACCTGTAGTTCCCGCAGGGCCTTGCCCAGCTGGCTAAGCCGGCTCTCCGTCAGTGTGTCCCCAAGGAGGCCTAAACGCAGAGTCTTCAGCCCAGCCCTGCGGACCCTGGCCTCTTCTACTGCATCCCACAGGGTGGGCCTCACCTGTTTTGCCTGCGTCCTCCTTTCCGAGGCCCCCAACAAAGCAGCCTGGAGCAAGCTCAAAGAGCTGCCTATTAAGGGGAGACTCAGTAAATTATTCCTT